AGTAGGCTTACGAGGTTTTGGGTATCACTGTATTGTTGTACAGTACTGAGAGGCGTGTGTGCAAATTTGGACCAGAGACTACACGATTTTGGAATATCTTCTACGGTAATGCACACCATGCGTTGGGCTGGATACACACTGCGAGACCCCATTGTTCCAGACAAAAAGAAACCAAGAATGAGCCTTCCTATGTCTCTTTTACCCGAAACAAGATGCGCTGGCCTTTGCGTCCCTGTGACCACCGATATTCTCTAAATTCGCCGGTAACTGGGTTTTTGAACTGAACTGAGCCGCTAATAGACAGACTTCTTGGGGCCATGGTGGGGGAACAACACCATCAACGCCTCTTACAAGTGATAGATTGGCACCAACTTATAACGTGTTCCATTGGATGTACCAGTACTTTGGTGTGGGAGCTCCAGTCTACAAGCTCAATTGCCAGCACAAGAAAAAAGTCCATGGATTCAACAGATCAACAGAAGGAAAAAAAGAGGACCCTGGAACAAGCGACATCCCCAAAGAAAGCACAGGCTTCTTCCCCAACTGGCTGGTAGATCAACGTTAGGTTCTATCCCACCCCTTGTAGTGCCGAAATATTGACGAGGAATTACCCTACTTGGCAATTTGACTTTTTATAAGACTAGTATTGCCGTAAAGATACCTAACAATTGTTAATTGTCCAAAGGGTGAGTAAGGCCGTTTCACTCCAAAAAAGAAAAATACCTCCTTGATGAGGTGCGGGTGTGAGAGAAAACTGGTGCAAGACTGCAAGGCGGTGGCTAGTGCGATGTACCGGGAGGTGGGCCCCATCTTACAGGGGCAGTGTAGTGTAGATACACGGCCCCCTGCCCCGCCATGTACTGTACCTGAAGTACAACCCCACTAAGTTTTTCTGCCCGGTGTCGGGTGGGCTTGAAGGATGGCTGGATGTGGATGGGGAAGACGACATGGACGACATGGATGGCCCTTTGCTACAGCTTGCCCACCTCACAACATAGCAGCCATTGACCCTTGAAAGTCAACCAAAATCAAGCCTAGCTTTCGCACACCCACCAGACAGTAGTACCTTAGTACCTAGAAGTAAACATTCCTCCTGAATTCTCCTGTCCCTCCCCCTCCCCCTCGTCTCCCGTCTTTCCATTTGTCTCATTCAATTGACGGATCACCTCGACCGTTTCTTCTACTCCCTTCCTCAATTCCTCTTCATACCTTCATCTCTCCCTCGTACCTAATTCCTTTGAGCCCGCTTCCCCCTTAGAGAGCTCAGAGCGTTTCCTCTCTTTGTAGTCGCTGATACCTTACTTGGTTCCTCCAGCGCTTTCAAATCTTCAACTCCTACCTTCACCACACCGTCGAGCTCGATATTCACAATGGCTGCCGCTACCTCCAACAGCCTGTCGGCCAACGACAACATTCAGCGCTTCACGGCTTCCAGCCGACCACTGAGCCCTCTTCCCGAGCACGCTCTCTTCACCGACAAGACACGATGCCTCGTCTACGGTCTCCAGCCTAGAGCTGTCCAGGGCATGCTCGACTTCGACTTCATCTGCAAGCGATCCAAGCCTTCTGTCGCCGGTATTGTCTACACCTTCGGCGGCCAATTCGTCAGCAAGATGTACTGGGGAACCAGCGAGACTCTGCTGCCCGTCTATCAGCAGGTTGAAAAGGCCATAGAGAAGCACCCCGACGTCGACGTTGTCGTCAACTTTGCTTCTTCCCGAAGTGTCTACAGCTCTACCATGGAGCTTATGGAGTACTCCCAGGTCAAGACCATTGCTATCATTGCTGAGGGTGTCCCCGAGCGAGTAAGTCTTTGTCAATTGCAGTTCTACCTCAAACCATCTTGCTAATCAAGAACTCCAGCGAGCTCGTGAGATCGCCCACGTCGCTAAGAAGAAGGGTGTTACCATTATTGGACCCGCCACCGTTGGTGGTATCAAGCCTGGCAGCTTCAAGATCGGTAACACTGGTGGTATGATGGACAACATTGTTGCCTCCAAGCTCTACCGCAAGGGTTCCGTTGGTTATGTCTCCAAGTCTGGTGGTATGTCCAACGAGCTCAACAACATTATCTCCCAGAACACCGATGGCGTGTACGAGGGTATTGCCATTGGTGGTGACCGATACCCCGGTACCACCTTCATCGACCATCTTCTACGATACCAGGCCGATCCCGAGTGCAAGATCCTTGTCTTGCTTGGTGAGGTCGGTGGTGTTGAGGAGTACAAGGTTATTGAGGCCGTTAAGCAGGGCATCATCACCAAGCCCATTGTGGCCTGGGCCATTGGTACCTGCGCCAGCATGTTCAAGACTGAGGTCCAGTTTGGTCACGCTGGTTCTTTCGCCAACTCTCAGCTTGAGACTGCCAAGATGAAGAACGAGCAGATGAAGGAGGCCGGTTTCCACGTCCCCACCACCTTTGAGGATCTCCCCTCAACCCTCAAGAAGGTCTACGATGATCTTGTCTCTCAAGGTACCATCGTTCCTCAGCCCGAGCCTATTGTCCCCAAGATTCCTCTCGATTACTCTTGGGCCCAGGAGCTTGGTCTCATCCGAAAGCCCGCTGCCTTCATCTCCACCATTTCCGATGACCGTGGCCAAGAGCTTCTCTACGCCGGCATGCCTATCTCTGACGTTTTCAAGGAGGATATCGGCATTGGTGGTGTCATGTCTCTTCTGTGGTTCCGCCGCCGCCTCCCCCCCTACGCTTCCAAGTTCCTCGAGATGGTTCTCATGCTCACTGCCGACCACGGTCCCGCCGTGTCCGGTGCCATGAACACCATCATCACCACACGTGCCGGGAAGGACCTGATCAGTAGTTTGGTAGCCGGTCTGTTGACCATCGGCTCAAGGTTCGGTGGTGCCCTTGACGGCGCCGCTGAGGAGTTCACCCGTGCCTTTGATAAGGGTCTCAGCCCCCGTGACTTCGTTGACAGCATGCGCAAGGCCAACAAGCTCATCCCTGGTATTGGTCACCGTATCAAGTCCCGAAACAACCCCGATCTCCGTGTCGAGCTCGTCAAGGAGTACGTCCTCAACAACTTCCCCAGCCACAAACTCCTCGACTACGCCCTTGCTGTTGAGACTGTCACCACTTCCAAGAAGGACAACCTCATTCTCAACGTCGACGGTTGCATTGCTGTTTGCTTCGTCGATCTTGTCCGCAACTGTGGTGCTTTCTCTGCCGAGGAGGCGGAGGACTACCTCAAGATGGGTGTTCTCAACGGTCTCTTCGTCCTTGGCCGAAGCATTGGTCTTATTGCCCATTTCCTCGACCAGAAGCGTCTGCGAACTGGTCTCTACCGTCATCCCTGGGACGACATCACTTACCTCCTCCCCAACCTCCGGGAGGCTGGTGCCCCTGGTGCTGAGGGCCGTGTTGAGGTTTCTCTGTAAGAAATGGGGAATGGTAATGCAATCGGAAAGGGAAGAGATAAGGCGTCGAGCATTTGATGATTTTGTGCCGGCCTGGACGCGTCGGGAAAAAACGACGGTCTGTATGAGAATTCCAATACAATGTAACTAGTGCTGGAGGCCACAAGATGGCACTCCATATTACTCGCTTGATCCTATAGACATGAATGTTGATGTTTGATATGAGACTCTGATTGGCTTACATGTGCTTTGAACTGGTAATGCTTGTCATGTTATGTATGATACCGACCTGGTGAGGTATAGCGTCTAAACTAAGAATTGTGTGTATGTATTTGAATATTTCGAGCAGTTTTATATAGCCCGTTTTTTATATTATTGTTTGGCCGCTGTCGAACATATTCAGCTTGCTTTGGTTAGTTGGATGTTAGTCGGAAACTGAGGAACCATCCTAATCATGTCAACGGAAAACAATTAATCACTAGCATAACTAGTAAACTGCTGTTGATTAATAGTATAGATGATGGATTTCTCAATTCTTAGGTCTCAATTAAAGTTGCAACATTAGGTATTGCACTGACCCAACTATTCCATCATGAGTAAACTCAAAGACGAGGATGTCACATGACATGGTAGCACCAGGAAGAGTTTAGCGTCTCTGTGGATTTTGACGCCGACCCTGAGCTCATGCTTCGCTGATAGACGACGATTGACGAGACGTGCAAGGCGGGCTGCTGTATCTTCCTGGGAAATCACTCTGCGAGCGCAATTGCAAGGCATTGATGGTAAGCTGCCTTCCAACATACTCCATTTATGACTCGTTCTTACGCACAACCTTAGACCGAGCGCTACGATTCATCCTCCTACCGACCAATCAACCACCACCGCAAACTGAACTCTTTCCGACAATGTCTTTCTTTCGCATCACTCTCCACCGCTCGGCCATTGGTCTTCCCGAGCGCACACGGGGCGTTCTCGCCGCTCTGGGTCTGCGCCGACGAATGCAAACCGTCTTCCACCCTGTGCACCCGCAGTTTGCCGGTATGATTCTCAAGGTCAAGGAGCTTGTTCGCGTGGAAGAGGTGGACCGCGTGCTGAGCAAGAGAGAAGTAAAGGCTGCGCGGACACCAGATGCTGGATTCTACATTGAGAAGGCTGTGCCGAGAATGTGAGGGACAGAAATCGATACCAAGGAAAAGATAAACAGGAATGTGTACTATATTGTAATGACCTTTGTACAAAACATGGTGGCAGTTTGGAGGAAATGATAGAATCACGATCAAGACAAAATTTAAGAAAGACTATTGAAAAAAAAGCTTCGTTCATTTGTTTCTTGGGGCCTAAATGAATTATACAAATTTTGGTAAACTACGATCCCAAAACACCAAAAGAATAATACCAGTTAAAAGACATACGACGAAGGCCTTCATTATCCTGCAACCACGTGTATAACACCGCGTTATCCCAACCGTGAATCTCTTTACCTCAAAAGGATCACGACAGAAAAATACTTCGTCTGCCTTGCAGTGCCATGTTGCACATTATAGTTGTAGGGTGCTAATAAGACTGGCCTGTAAGGACCAAAAAGACCACGGAGAACATAGATTAATAATCGTGACCAGCAGAATCTAGAAGCTGCGGGCCTTGTCGATGTAGTCCTGGGCTGGAGTTTCATACTCATTCGCAAAGTAGGTTTCGCAGTTGCGTCCCAGCCAGACATTGAACTTGCCAATCTCCTCGCGGAGGCGTGACACGGACTGCTGGTCCATGTTGGTTTGCGCCAGCAACTCAGGGAGAGACACTATCAAGGCCAAGTCAGTCAATAATCGTCGAGAGAAATCAGGAGTGCTCATACCTATCAATCGAGCAAGGTGCTCAGCGCCATAGACGTCACAGACGTTGGTGTACTCGGGGTCGGAATCGGTGTTTTCCCACAGTTTCTTCATTTCCATATACTGGTGGCGTTCAAAGCTGGTCATGGTCAGGATTGGATCATATTTTCCAGGGATTAGACTTACCGATAGAGTAGGATCCTGCTAAGAGCCTTCTCGAAGTACTCACGAAGGCCTGCTACGACTTCTTCCAAGATGTCCATGCTTGACGATCCCTCCTCTCGGTGAGGGCGCTCATGGGCAAGGTAGTCTTCGAAAATCTTGGCGACTGGCTTGGAGTGAGGTAGAGGGACTAGCTGATTGTTCTTGGTGATGTTCTCCCAGTCATCGACCAGCATGGCTTGAATGTGATCAGGCACCGGCAAGTTGATCATGGGCTTGTTATGGAAAGCATCCTCCTGTAAAGTAGTTAGCATAGGACGGCAATGGCCAGTGGAAAACAATAGCTATTCTGAGCGAGGAGATCAAAAGTGCTCGAGGGATGTGTCTACCATCTCAAGTTGGTCAGGTTGGTCAAATGAGCTCCGCTTGGGCTTATTGGCATGCTTGGAAGGCTTTGAGGGCTTGTGGCGAGGCTGCTTAGGCTCGGTTGTAACAGGTAGGGACGCAGTGTATCGGCCATCTTGGATGAGCTTCCCAGAGTCGGTCACATAGCGGTGGTTCTCGGAAGGGCGTGTTGCCAGGAGGTCATTTGGCTCTTTGACGCTTCTAAGCCTGACCTTTTGAGATGACTTGCCGGGATCGACAGACTCGCTTGGCTGGGCCTCCTCGGCTGAGCCCCTGATGTTTGAGATGGGAAAGCCTTGCGATGCAGAGGCCTTGCCGGGAGCAAACATTGCGTCGCGGTGTTGTTTCGGGGTAAGGTGCAGATATAGAAGGGAAGGGGGGGGAGTGTAGATGGGGAAGAAATGTGAAGTTGGGAGGCTGATGGAAAGATTATGGTAAATATCAACTGCGGGGGGTTTATAGTGTGGGATGTAGAAATATGGCTGGGAAGGTGGAAGCTTTTGGTGTTGGAAGAAGGGTGACAGTGATAGATAACAATGTAAATACAGGGGAAGAGTGCCAGTGCTGCAGAATAGCAGGTTGTAGGTCAATGCTGGATGCTGAATCACAAACAAACGCCCCTACAGGTTTGGAACAGCCCGCTCTATCTGGCCATATAGAAAACCAGACTTTGGCAGAGCCTTGTAATCTCTTCGACTGAGAGGAGAAATTGGGAGATAGTGTAATAAAGCGTAGGTGATGCAGCCGTTGAGCAATCTCAGCGCAACGAACTCACTTCACATGTTGCATGTTGTAGCCCAGAACTTTCTGGGAAAAACACTCTCATAAAACGCAAAGGGCGGTCGAGCAACGGGAACATGGCAATGGGATATGCCAGAACAAAGATGAAAATAGTGTCTTACCTGTTCAAGCTCCCAATCTTTTCCTCGCCTACCTCCCCTGCCTCCTTGAACAGTGGCCGAGCCTGATCGCTCCTCGCTAACTCTGGCCGACTCAGCACCACTTCGGAGACCCTTCTTTGGCTGCTTCGTGCTCCTTTGAATGTTATGCTTCAATTGCGCATGAAGCTGTGCTGCCAGCTCTTTGTGTTCGTCGTCAAAAGGCCGGATGCGGTCAACCAGGACCCAATCGTCCCAAGTGTTCTTCCACCCCTTGTAGTGGACTTTATACTTGTATCCGTCACTGGGTTTCTCACCTTGCTGGACGTCCATAATCTTGGCCTCATAGAGCATGTCCATATGAAAACACAGAACCTTTTCATCCTTGCTAAAAGGCGGAGGCGCCGGTTGTTGACGCGCTGGAGCCATGGTGATGTCGGTTGTGGTTGTGATGTGATTGTTGAGTGTTAAAAGGGAAGAGAAGAATTGAAGTTATTAGAAAGGGAAGATGTGAATGGGGAAAGAAAAGAAGGAACAAGAAGCAAATGTCAACTAAGCACGGATACCCTTTGAATCTGTATGCGGGTATACTTTGTCTTGTCGAGTTTAATGTAACAACTCTGATGGGTACTGACAACGGTCCAAGTCTGAGATCAATGAACAAGATGAGATGAGAATGAAGCTAATAGGTTGATACATGAAGGACAGTCTAGTTTTGCATCAACAATTACGGCAAGGTTCATACGGATACGGTAGGAAGGTACACGATTGGGTACTTTTAGTGTAGGTAGGTCGCGTTAATGAGGGAACAGGGGGTGGTGCTTCTTCTTTTCACTGCACGCGAAGACCCGACGCGACAGGATGGGATAGACCACCCCTTCTTTCTTTAGAGTGCGCATAGGACCCGGACCCAGACCCAGCCTTCTGGGTGTGATAAGATAAGAGGCAAGTATCATGAATGATCCAATAGAAACATCAAGGTTGTGGAGAATTCAAAGTGTCGCCCGCAGTATGTACTGCAGTATCAGAATTATAGTGGGAGGCTCTCTAACTTTTCCAATGGAGACCTCTACATCACTGGGGAAAAGCAAAGCCCTGCTAAAAGTGTCGATCCCCGCTGGGCCGATCTCGCAAGGTCTTAGAACTGACGTGAGTCAATTGGACGCCGCTTCTCATCAAAAAGTTTCTTGAACTTGCATGTAGGGCAGTGAACAACTTATTCACCTTCAAAACCCCTCTCTTGATTCAGCCTGGCTCTATAACCCTCACATATAGCCATTGCTTCAGGCAGCTCTTCACAATGGCCAACATTCCCGATCCCACTGCCGATTTGGACTGGACCTACGATGGCAGTATCATTGAACACTTTGCCCGAAATGCGGAAGCACACCCTGAAAGGACTTGTGTAGTAGAAACCAAGACCTCAGACGCTCCAGAGAGGCGATTCACATACAAGCAGATCTATGAAGCTTCTAATATCCTGGCCCATCATTTGACCGAGGCCGGAGTTACCAATGGCGATGTCGTCATGATCTGGGCTCATCGCTCTGTCGATTTGGTTGTGGCTATCATGGGCACTCTTGTGAGTCCATACCTCGACGGCATAGTTGAAGCAGAAACTAACAAGAGAAAAAAAAAGTCATCTGGTGCTACATTCTCAGTTCTTGACCCTCTTTACCCTCCTAGCAGACAACAGATCTATCTTGAAGTTGCTCAACCTTGTGCTTTGGTCAACATCGCAAAGGCGTCCGATGAAGCTGGACCACTTGCTCCTCTTGTCAGGAGATATATCGACGAGGAGCTCAACCTCAAGACCGAAGTTCCCTCACTAAGAATCGGAGATGATGGTATCTTAGCAGGAGGTGAGATCAATGGGGCCGATCTTTTTGCTCAAGTCCGATCCAAGGCTGCATCTCGCCCCGATGTTACTGTTGGCCCTGACAGCAACCCTACGTAAGTTTAATCAGCTTTACACTTACCTACCTTCTGTACTAACTATCAATTCGCAGTCTCAGGTTTGTTTCTCTTATTTGAATTCATAGAGGTATAATTAACCACATAGCAGTTTCACTAGTGGCTCAGAAGGCAAGCCCAAGGGTGTCTTGGGACGCCATTACAGTCTCTGCAGATACTTCCCTTGGATGTCAGAGAGATTCAACTTGACATCTGAAAGCAAGTTCACGCTTCTTTCTGGAATCGCCCATGACCCTGTCCAGCGAGACATCTTCACACCTCTCTTCCTTGGTGCTCAACTTTTGGTGCCCTCCAAGGAGGACATCCAGCATGAAAAGCTCGCCGAATGGATGCGCGAGCACAAGCCTACCGTTACTCACCTAACACCAGCCATGGGTCAAATTCTAGTAGGAGGTGCAACAGCTGAGTTCCCATCGCTCGACAGGGCATTCTTTGTTGGTGATGTTCTCACCACCAGAGACTGTCGACAGCTTCGAAAGCTCGCCGAAAACGCCAACATTGTTAACATGTACGGAACAACCGAGACACAAAGAGCTGTCAGCTACTTCGAGATTCCTAGCCGTTCCAAAGACCCCAACGCTCTAGAGGCTCTTGGAAACACCGTGCCTGCCGGTAAGGGAATGCAGAATGTACAGCTTCTTGTCATCGATCGCCAGGACCGCAATAAGATTTGCGGACTTGGCGAGGTTGGTGAGATTTACGTGCGTGCCGCTGGTCTTGCCGAGGGATACAGAGACAACGCAGCACTGAATGCGGAAAAGTTCATCACCTCTTGGTTTGTTGAACCGAACAAGTGGGTTGAGGCCTATGCGAACTTGAACAAGGACGACCCTCGACTCAAGGGTTATGTTCCTCGTGATCGTCTTTACCGCACAGGCGATTTGGGACGTTACCTCGAATCTGGAGATGTTGAGGCTACCGGTCGAGCTGATGATCAGGTCAAGATTCGTGGCTTCAGAATTGAGCTCAATGAAATCGACAGCAACCTTAGCCAGAACCCCTTGATCCGAGACTGCAAGGTACGTCTACAGCAATACGCACCCACTAACAAGGCAATTTGCTCATTCTCAATAGACTCTCGTGCGAAGAGACAAGAACGAGGAGCCAACTCTTGTCAGCTACATTGTTCCTGAGTTGAACGAATGGCCCAAGTTCCTCAAGGCCCAGGGGCTCGAAGATGTCGAGGACGAGGGAACTGATATCGGACCTACCAAGGTTTACTTCAAGCGTTTCCGACGTATGCAAACAGAGGTTCGCGACCACTTGAAGGGTCGATTGCCTGCTTATGCGGTCCCTACTACTTATGTAAGTCCTAAGCACAGTCTCATTCAGTGCGACCCAGTTATTAACACATCACCAGATCACATTGGAGAAGCTTCCTCTGAACCCTAACGGAAAGGTCGACAAGCCTAACCTGCCCTTCCCTGATATTGCAGAGCAGACCGAGGATGCCACTGAGGAGGATCTGAAGCGTTGGGAGAGCCTCTCCCCCACAGAGCAAACAATTGCCACAAACTGGTCTGAACTCATTCCTGGTCTTAACGCAAAGACCATCGCTCCCCAAAACGACTTCTTCGATCTTGGTGGTCACAGTTTGCTTGCTCAGCAAATGCTCCTGAGTGTGCGAAAGACGATTGGCGTAAATGTTTCTATCAACACCCTTTACGAGCACCCTAGCCTCTCCGGCTTCAGTGCTCAGATTGACAGGCAGCTCAAGGGTGGTGCTGCTGGTGAGTCAGAGGAGGACAAGAACCCCGAGTACGCTCGGTCTCTCGACGAACTACTTAAGGGGCTTCCTTCTAAGTACCAGTCGGCCGACCCATCTACTATCCGTGCCAAGGCCAAGCCCGTTGTGTTCCTTACTGGTGCTACTGGCTTCTTAGGTGCCTATCTGATTAAGGATATCCTCTCGCGTACCAGTCGTCAAATTCACCTAATTGCCCACGTCCGAAGTGTCAAGGACCCCAAGGGTGCCTTCTCTCGTCTTCGCCGCTCCCTCGAGGGCTATGGTATGTGGCGAGATGAGTGGGAGTCCCGCCTGAGCTGTGTTGTTGGCGACCTTGGTCAACCAAACCTTGGAATTGAGTCATCTGTGTGGAACAACCTGGCTCAGACTGTTGATGTGGTTATTCATAACGGCGCTGCCGTCCACTGGGTCAAGCGATATGCTGATATGAAGACCGCCAACGTCAACTCTACCATCGATGCTATGAAGCTCTGTAACGAAGGAAGGCCCAAGACCTTTACCTTTGTGAGTTCGACCAGTGTGCTTGACACTGATCACTATGTCAACCTCTCAGACAAGCAGATCAGCACCGGCCAGGGTTCTATCCTTGAGGAGGACGATATGATGGGCAGCCGCACTGGTCTTGGAACGGGTTACGGCCAGACCAAGTGGGTTTCGGAGCAGCTTGTCCGTGAAGCCGGAAGAAGGGGTCTCCGTGGTACTGTTGCACGACCAGGATACATTCTGGGTGATATTGAGACTGGTGTCTGCAACACTGACGATTTCTTGGTCCGAATGCTCAAGGGCTGTATTCAGCTTGGCGTTCGGCCTCATATCGTAAACACAGTCAACGCTGTACCAGTGAACCACGTCGCCAATGTCGTCGTGGCTTGTGCGCTTAACCCTCTATCCAATGGTGTCCATGTTGCTCATATCACTGGCCACCCTCGTCTAAGAATGAACGAGTACTTGTCCAGCCTCGAGTACTATGGCTACAAGGCACCCGAGGTCGATTACACTCAGTGGAAGGATGAGTTGGAGAACTACGTTACAGCTGGTGGACAAGCAAAAGATCAGGAGCAGCATGCTCTGATGCCTCTGTACCACTTCTGTGTCAACGATCTCCCCGCCAACACCAGAGCCCCTGAGCTTGACGATTCGAACACCGTCAAGATTCTTAAGGAAGACGCTGAGCACTGGACCGGCATCGACGAGAGTTCAGGATACGGTATTTCGCGAACAGATATTGGACGATTCCTGAACTTCTTGGCCGAGACTCAGTTTGTCTCTTGGCCTACAGGAAGAGGAAGGCCACTTCCTGAGGTCAACCTGACGACAGCTCAGCTCGAGGCTGTTGGTGCTGTTGGTGGCCGCGGTGGTAGTGGTGCTCCTGCTGCTACAGCTGCCGCTCCCAAGGTCTAAGCGAAAGCTCAAGATACTAAAAGTTATTTGATTAAGCGGCTAGTTTGTTTTTAGAGTCGGTTGGATATCGTCAGAATTGTATATGTAGAGTTAAATACAATATACCGACTTATAACATCGAAGTTTAATAATACTTTTATGTAAGTTGTGAAACTTGACATGCCTGATTCAAACAAGGTCAGTTCAATGCTGTCTTTCAGTAAAATCCATGTAAATTGGTCCCGTCACTTTGCCGGTATGGTACTTGTTACAGTCATTGCAGTAGTCGGGTGGTGGGGCACTTAACGCGCTTCGCTTTCCCATCGCGTCGTGGTTGTATCCTACTCAGTGTCGACACAGCATCAATCATTAATCTAGCAACCGCAAAATAATCTTGACTCAGTAAATTACCACACTGGTTCCTCGCCCGCCAAAATGGCACCTACAGAGGCTGAGCTCCTAGCCAATTACCTTATTCAACCTTCGACTCTGACCGCTATCACAACCCTCGAGCAGTTCAAGGCTCTCTTCCCTCGTCCGCTGCAGTCATCACCACAAGTCCGATCTTTATTTCGAGACCTACAAGCACAGCGTGCAGATGTCCTGGACCAAGTTGCTGAAAATATCGCCGATGAAGCAAAACGAAGTCTCGCAATGCGGCGGGAAGTCCTGCGAGCCAAGCGTGAGGCAGAACGAGAGGATGTAGATGCCGAAATTGAAATGGAGCGCGCAGTAGGTTCCTCTACTATATACGATTTAATCGGTATACTGACAATGGACTTCTTTGACAGCTTTTCGGCGATGCATCAGGAGCAGCAAGTGCCAAGCACACCCTCAATTCTGTTATTCCCGAGCTAGAAGGAGCAGCAGGCGCCCTGGAAGCTGAAATTGAAAAGTTACAGGAGGAAGAGGCAGCCCTGCTCGAGTCTGTGCAACAAACTGTAGGGGCGCTAAGCGATCTACGATACGGCAAATTCTCCAATGGGCAGATAAGCGACGAAGTCATCGACGGCCTGAAGAACGTCGAAGCAGCTTGCGAGAACAAATCATAAATCACTGGTCATTTCACTGACGATACGATGGGTTTGTACAAAAGGCATGATCATTCTTTTCGATAAAACTTGTCATTATTATGCAACACCTCAATACTTTTTGCAGGCATATACATGCTCGCTTGATACGGTTCAATCATTAAAGCCCATCAAGCAATTACCAGCAATAATTTATCGGGCGGGCTGAGCACCGTTCGCGCCTTGCATGCGGCGGGACCTGTCCGATGTTAATTTTCATGGATCACCAGTGGAAGGGGAAGGCTCACATCATAGCGCGGCTGCCAAAAGACACAACAAGCATGAAAAGCCAGTTGGGAACGAGGTTCATGGCCCACATCAAGTAACCGAAGGGAATGGCCAGGCCATGCTCGGCCAGCTTGCCGTTCACGGGGTGGAACCAGGCGCTGGTGTGAAGGTGGAACTCGTCCTTGCTACCAGAGGCCTGGAGGGCGAGCAGAGTGTCAGAGGTGGTGGTGGTCACGTTGAGTCTCTTGCTGTAGACCTCGACAGCTGCGGGCTCAGGAAGCATCTCAAAAACGTAGAGGCTGGGAGGGCCAGCAGACCAGGAGTTGCAGAGGATAGGCTGGTGGTCGCAGTTCAAGTAAGCCATATGGGGGGTGTTGTCGAGGAGCGCAAACTTGGCAGCGGTCTCGTTGAAGGCCTGCTCGACAGCTCCGCATCGACCTTTTGTCATACGTTAGCTTGTGGCCAATTTGGGAGATATGGGGGACGAGTGCAAATCGCATAGCACGTAGAGTGTCGCGATTATGTCGCAGGTCATCAAACATACCATAGCAGGTCTTGTTTCCACCAGAGACGAGCAACCACCACTCCTCGGGAGTAGTGGCGTCAGCGGAAACAGGCTCGTAGAGGGTCTCCTTCCAGTTGTCCAGAGTCAAGACGTTGAGTCTCATGGCACCAGCCTTGGCCTCGGCGGCAGCAACGGGGTCATGGTGGGCTGGGTTAGGAATGTAGGAAGCGAACTGGCCGATGACATTCTGGAATTGGGCCTTGTACTGATCAATGGGAGAGTCCTGCGCGGCAGCGAGGGCGGGCAGAGCCGCGAGAACAGTAGACGATGAGAAGCGCATTATGGCGGATGATGAAAATTAATGACGCAAGCTAACTAATCAATGTCGGTTTGGTTTTGAGGGAGATGGACTGGAGAGGAACAGAGAAGAGAAGAAGACAACACAACCCAGAAGAAGGATGGATGGACGGGATCTGGTGGATAAAGTAAAGACCCTGGCGGAAAAGCTGGACCGGAGCTGGACCCTTGTATCGTTGGGGATATCGGAGCTTTTCCTTGTCTATTTGCCAGAGCTTACAGAAACTACCTAGACTTAGTAAGTATTCATTTGCTGTGCCTTATTTGGCTAAAGCCCTGAAGAGCAAAGTGAGCTTACAGTAGCAATAGCTGCTATGAATGTTAGCCCGTTGATAGACAAACTCTAGAATGTACTTAAGCTCTAGCTTGGAGAGTATCACAAGGTGCTTTCTATATACTAAGGTAGATACAGTATTCTATTTAAACCTATGGGATCGTGTGGGATTGAACTGACCACGAATTGTGTATCTAGGTTCCAGGAGTTATCAACTCACCGCAGGAACCCGAAGCGAGCCATACCTACATACTGCAGCTCAACTCAAGATCCGCAATACCAATGATGACAGATGACAACAAACAATAGAAGTATCGATAGCTCCAGACTTTCATGACAAGTGCTTCTGAACTAACCCAGATCGTATTAGACGATTTCCAATTAATGTGGCCCCACACGGAAAGGTAAGCAATGTTTCCCAACAAAGAGAAGCCAGTTGCAAAGTCATCATACATTTTAACCGATATTTCGCCGTGTCCTGGCACTGGCTGGACTGACTTCATTAACGCGTCTCTCCTTGTGGAGTTCGTTATTCACGAACCGCGGCCAGAGCTTGATTACACTTAGGCTGTCTGTTGTCTTAATTTCAGACACATAACTTTACGTTTTGTATACTTTGTCCAGATTGTGTTGTTATACCGTCCATATCGCCTTGCTCTGCTTTGATCTACCTATTTTATCCGATTCAATCACGACCTTGACCCTATCCTATCCATCATGAATCCGCAAATGGGCCAGCAAGGCCAAGGTCAAGGCCAACCACAAGGCCAGCAAGCCGCTGCAGGACAGCCCCAACAGCGTCCACCACCTATGTATCAACCGGGACAGATTCGAGCGTTGCCTACATTGAGCGAGGAGGAGAAGTCCAAGTATGAAGCCGGGTTACAGGGACTCTGGAACAAGGCGAACGGGTCACCTCAGAACAGCCAAGAACATATTGCAGCGCGACAGAAGATTATAGAGTTTTCCAAAATGCTCATCACCAAGATCCAGTCAAGGCGTACCCAGATGGCAAGCCAAAATGCGCAGAATCAGCAGGCTCGCCCTCAGCAAATGCAACAAAACGCCGCCGGGCAGGCGACACCTCAAGCACAGCCCCTGCAACAAGCAGCTGGCGCCACGGCTGGCAGCCAGACAACTGGAGCAGCCGCTCAACAGAACCGAATTCCCGAGCACATCCTCCAGCATATTGCAAAGATAAACTTCCGTGCACCCGCCCAAGTAGCGGAGAAATCAGGCGCCGACGCAAATAAATGGGTAGAGGAGATAAAGCAACGCTATACCCGGGCACTCATGACCATGGATAACAGCAAGCAAAAAGTTGCGCAGATTGACAAGCTCATTAATGAAAGAGCTGCTGCTGGAACGCCGTTCAAGGAGGACGAGTTGAGGCAGCTTCAAATTAGGAAGGAACAGCAACTCAAAGCACATTCTGATGCGCACAAATGGGTTGACAGCGTCCGCAAGCAACAAGGTAACCTGCAAGGCACTGGCCAGGCACAGGCACAGGCACAAGCACAGGCGGCACAAAACGCGGCGAGAGCTTCTCAGCAACCCGCTACAGGTCAACAGGCTACTGCAACACAACAACAGCCACAGTCTCAACCACAGCAGCAGCAACAAACTCAACAGCAGCAGCAGCAACAAAGTCAGCCGCAGCAATCGCAAACTCAACCACAGGCTCCACAAAACCAACCTCAGGCAGCTCAAGTCCAAAACAACCAGAATAACGCTCCTCCAGTGAATGCTGCTGTCGAGGTTGCCAAACAACAGTTAGCCGCGGTGGGTCGAGCTTCCCCTGCCAACGGAAACCCAGGAGCGACACCAGGACAAGTGCGCCCGGCGCAAGGAACTCCTCAGCCCGGACAGCAACAACAATTACCACAAGCGCCAGTTCAGGTCAAACAGGAACCTGGCACTGCTCCCGCCAATCCTGCGATAGTTCAAGCAGCTGCGCACAATCAAGCCGGAACACCAACTCAGCAGAGCGCCCCGCGCATCCCTACACCACAGCAAGCCGCCGCCGCAGCTCCAACAACAGTGCCAGGTCCTCAGCGAGCTCTCAGTCACTCTGCTGCTATAGAAATGGCGAACAAGACCATTAACACTCCTGGGAGTGCGCAGCTGCCTGGCCGCCCTGCCGCAGCCGGAACACCAACACCAGGCAGCGCAGTGAATCAAGGCGTGATGGGGCCAAATGTTCCCCAGCAGCCGACTCCACAGGGTCATCCTCACGCACATCCACCACAGCCTCAACAAACACCAATGCAATCCAAGATGCCCATCCCCAAGGTGCTTCCTGACAAGGCCACTGCCGTGCCTCAGGGTGTTTCGGTCGGAGGCGGAGTGAATGCCGGACGCCCCACGATGACTCAAGGAAGCGGAACGCTGGGTGGTGTCATGAATCAGCCTGCGATGGCCAGAATTCCAGCCTACAACCACGAAGCCGAGGGGGATCACGTTTTGAGCAAGAAGAAATTGGACGAGCTGGTCCGACAAGTGTGCGGAGGGGCAGCCGAGGGGCAAGATGGAAACCTGCTCACCCCTGAAGTGGAAGAGGTAAGCATATTCATTTTCTGAGACTCGGGCGAGATGGCTAACTTGATTTCAGAATGTTTTGAATATGGCAGACTCGTTTGTCGACAGTGTCCTACATGCGGCCTGTCGAAACTCGAAGGAGCGCGGGTCTAAGGTGCTCGAGATCCGTGACATTCAACTTGTGCTAGAACGAACTTATAACATTCGTGTCCCTGGCTACTCGTCTGACGAGCTCCGTACTGTCCGAAAGATCCAGCCATCTACTGGATGGATTGCCAAGATGAGCGCAGTTCAGGCTGCCAAGGTCATGCCGGGTAAGGGCGAATGAACCACGGAATATTTGGGAAATAGGAGACGCTCAGGCGAACCAAAAAGCAACAAGATGTATTTTGCATTTCCAAAGATAGGCGTTGGGTGTATACCCGGAACAAACTGGCGTACTAGGGGTGGGTTTTCGGTCAGGTACGAAGGCCGATTCTCTCATTAGAGGGTACACCAGAATGCATACGATATTGCTTGCCATCCAAGAGAAATACTTTGTTGATTAGGAATATCGATAATAGAAGATCGTTGGCTTTGCAAAATTTCCCATTACAACTGTCTATGAACATCGCAACATAAATCATTTTACGGCGTAAAACTCTAGTGAGATTTAGTTCCATATCCCTCTTGACAGAGTTATGTCACTATGCTCGTGCGTTGATTTAGTGATAGTATTATATCATATGTCGTATAAATAAAATATGTACTTCGTTCTAAGTTTATATATCATGGTCTTGTTAGTGTTCCGATAGATTAGCATATCTCATATGAAATACATAACTCACTTTGTGATTTATGCAAGTCGCTAACTGCAGGCAACATTGAGACGTCACTGTTTGAGCCCCACAAAGCTGCCAGCTTATTAAGGTAGCGCCCTCTACTTTGAAGGTACTTGCTTGTGTAGCGGAACCACCGTGTGAACCAAGTATCTTTCACCCCAATTCAGTCTCTTTCCGTTGTCGCCTCAGTTGCCCACTGGCCAGTCACCAAGCCCCGGTCCCCATTTGGTGAGCTAGCACCAGCAACGAGCAGCAGCATCACCTTGAACCTCTCCCAATCTCATTACAAACTCACCACGACGATCACTGTCTCGACCTTGCCGACGGTCTTCCCCCTCTCGACAACCATCTTGTGCCTGAAATCTCGGTATATCGTTTACCGTTCTCACCAACTCCCTTTAAACTCAATTACGCAGACGCTGCGACAAGTCGAGGCGCGCGCACGACTCGATCTTCTGCCACTATCGTCATCCACAGCTCCTACTCCGATAGTTTCAGCCTTACTACTTCGCATCACACATAGAAACGCATCATGCCGCCCAGCAAGGCACCAAACAACAACGGCAAGAAGCCCGCCGGCAACGACGTTCAGAAAAACAAGGACGTCGAGATGACGGACAGCACAAAGTCTAAGGGCAAGAAGCCTGCCAAGGACGGTGATGAGGAGATGACAGTTGTTGTTCCTCCTTCCAAGTCGAAAAAGTCTGACAAGGCTGATGCCGAAGGCGACGTGTCAATGGGCGAGGAGGAAGAAGAGGAGGAGGTCGACCCTGTTGTGCAGACCATCGCAGGTGAGTAGAGCTTGTAAGAGCTCAACAAGGTCGGCTAGAGCAAGTACTGACATTACATTTCGACAGATATCAAGAGCAACTTTGCTTTGATAGACCGTGCCGTGGCCCACTTCGATGCCAGATTCTCCCTCCGCGCCCTGAGATCTATCTCCATTATTCGCAAGCGTTTGACCCCCGATATTATTGCCCAGGTCATATCCGAGGCTTTCCCTGCTACCGCCAACTCAAGTGCTGTCGTCAAGCCACTTCTAGCTGCCATTGAGCGCGAGGATGTTACCCTTGGCCGACAGAGTGGTTCAGAGATGGAAATCGACGATGCCAAGACATCTGGAAAGAACGGTTCCAAGAAGGAGGCAAAGGACCTCATTCCTGAGGTCGATATCTTCCTCGGCATCCTCGTCCAGGTCTACCTGTTCGACTCAAAGCAGTTCCAGCGTGGAGCTGACTTCTCCAAGTACCTTTCGGACAGAGTGCAGTCTCTCAACCGCCGCACACTGGACTCTTTGTCCGCCAAGGTCTACTTCTACTACTCCATCTTCTGCGAGCAGATCGCCCCTCTCCCTCCGTCTCCCCAATCTCCCGTGGTCGCCATTCGACCAACTCTCCTCGCCGCCCTTCGAACCGCCGTGCTACGCAAGGATGTCGACACACAAGCCTCGGTCATCGTTCTTTTACTGCGAAACTATCTCTCGACTTCGCACATTAACCAGGCTGATCTCCTGGTCTCTCACACTCAGTTCCCTGAAAACGCTGTCAACAACCAGGTAGCACGTTTCCTTTACTACCTTGGTCGTATCCGCGCTGTCCAGCTGCGATATACTGAGGCCCATGAGCATCTCACTGCTGCCACCCGAAAGGCTCCATCTAGTAGCTGCGCCCTTGGCTTTGCCCAGACTGCAACCAAACTCCTTTACGTTGTGGAGCTGTTGATGGGTGACATTCCTGACCGAGCCATGTTCCGTCAGCCAACAATGGAGGCTGCTCTCCAGCCTTACTTCTTGTTGGTCAAGTCAGTCAGAGTTGGTAACCTCGAGGACTTCGAGACAGCGATTGCTGATCATGCCGATACCTTCCGACGGGATGGCACATACAGCCTTATCCTGCGTCTACGTCAAAACGTTATCAAGACGGGTATCCGCATGATGTCTTTGTCTTACTCTCGTATCTCTCTTCGGGATATCTGCATTCGTCTCCAGCTTGGTAGCGAGGAGTCGGCGGAGTACATTGTTGCCAAGGCTATTCGCGACGGTGTGATTGAGGCTACTCTTGACCGTGAAAGGGGTTTCATGAAGAGCAAGGAGGTTGGCGATGTGTATGCTACGCGTGAGCCTGGTGAGGCTTTCCACGACCGAATTCGAGCTTGTCTAGCTCTCCACGACGAGAGTGTTAAGGTATGTCCATCCATGTTCGCACAGACAGCAGCAAGCTAATCCATTTCTCATTTAGGCCATGCGATTCCCCATGAACCAACATCGTCTCGAGCTCAAGAATGCCCAGGAGGCTCGAGAGCGTGAGCGTGAGATGGCCAAGGAAATACAGGAGGGCGATTTGGACGAGGATGACCTCGGCGGAGAATTTGATGGCATCTAAGTTGGTGATGTCTGTATATCGTCTATCCTTGATAACGCATAGAGGTTCTCTTTGCCGACAGCATCAGCCTGCCTTACTTGGCTGTAATTTTTACTTATGACCCGTTTGGCGCTTAGAGTGATGGTGGTCGTGTGCCGGAACTCGGTGATAGAAGGGAGGGGTTTTTGAGGGGTCTAGAGGTAAACATGGCCCCCATGTATGTATTAAATGCTTGGTGCAGAGAAGTTGAATCCGAGAGCATAAATCCGCTTTCTCCATGTTTGCTCCGGGATCCTTGGTGATTTACCTGTGCCCAAGGATGTGTGCTTATGGCAGATACTTGCTATAATTGAATATGCGAAGGTTAAGGATACTGTTATTTTGATCAAGTGTGGCGCCGATAATAGTGCAGTAACATCAGTATCAAGGTATAGTCCATGTCGTATCCTTCAAGCTAGCCCCTGCACGAGGGTTTCGTGTTCTTTCTCTATGTGTTAGCCCTTTGTTCGGTTAGTATGCTGTATGTTGGACGCAGCGTCTTTGTGAGACTCAGTATATGACCTGGCTTAATCGACTTTTTAATAACAAGTGGGGAGCTGGCGCAACGGTAGCGCGTCAGATTCCAGTGCTCTGCTCACCCAGTAGTTGTCCTTGGGGATTCCTGAAGGCTATCGGTTCAAATCCGGTGTTCCTCACATACCATCACATCCGCATCTTAACAGATGTGGCTTATTTCTTTTTCCACTCCCACCTTCATTTCTCGTTTTCCCCTTTTTTTTTTTTTTTTTTTTAAACAAACAAGGATTCTCTTGCATCGTGTCCACTTGAGGCCAGTTTTCAATTGCTTCACACATCAAAACTTGGGGAGCTGGCGCAACGGTAGCGCGTCAGATTCCAGTGAGCTGTCTAACAGCTTCTTTGGGGATTCCTGAAGGTTATCGGTTCAAATCCGGTGTTCCTCATGTTGTTTCTTTTTGTCTATTGTTCCGTTGATATTGCAATGTCATGTGTTGATTATTATTTTTTGACTATTATATTTGTAGTCTTCCTTGCCAGAAGTATATATCATACGCGGTGACTGATTCATGTATTCTGTGCTTTAAAGAGTGAAGGTTGAATAAAGGTGGTAAGAATATATACATCGGAAGAGGAAATAGTTACGAATTCTTCTTACCCTGAAGCTCTGGTGAAAGTCCTCGAAACACCAGTCAGTACATGTGAAGTGGGGACAACAGCTTCAATATCTGCCACGACTAAAGCGTCAAGGACATTACCGGGCAAAGCAGGTCCTTACTAGGCAGATCCAGATATACAGTATCATTTCATTACTGCGAGTTGACAATCTCACGCCCTTGTATCGACAAGTGTGGGTCATCCATGTGGTTGCCTACGGTAAGATATTGCTGAGCCCCGATCTTTATATCAGATCACCACTTGAATCTCACCGATACTAAGAACAACTCACCTTAAAGTACGGTATCTAAAATGAGAGGCTAGTTTGTTTCCATGCAATCGTACATGCCGAGTTAAACAGAAGCCGATCGAATCTCAAAGCAGCCTGATCAAAGCTCGAGGTTGACTCACGAAGTGGAAACACGAGTGACATCAATGCCGATTTACGCCCTGCACTTGACATATCTCCAAGGACCCTTACTCAAAGACATCGGTACCCACATGTAAGGCTGAATGAAACCAGCCTTTGATATACCAATCTATAGTTGATTAGCCGCTATATAAGTGACCGCCGCTGCTGTAGTATAAGCCCAACTCACAAAGACACCAAACTAAAGCTTGACGTACAAGAATCCAAACTTGCAACCTCCGATATGTCTACTGCTACCGAGTTGCGGCCTATTGAGCCGCCCTCGTTCTCCATCTCATCCCAACACGCAAATGTATCACCTCCATTGAGCAAACACAACGACACGGTTAACATGGAAGAGGCAATCCGCCTTGCTTACCTCTGCCGCAAGAGTCTCATCGACCTCGACCAGCACTTACCCGGCTTCAATCCTTCTCATCCCTTCACTGCAGATGAGATCATTGCCATGCCACTGAATAAGCATCGTATCGACGATGCTCTACATGACCTTCCTCGTCGCAAATCTGCTCGCCACAACTTGGCCGTAGCTATTGCCCCGATGCTTTATCCTGTGCACGAAGGTTCGCTGACGGCCATTATCCGCTTTGATGCGGACCGTGTACGCCTCCGTGCTTGGGCCGCCCTGCAGCGACGATATGACATGTTGATGGCCACTATTCGGAACGGCCACACTACCAAAGGCCTGTCCAGCGGTGCTGCGCCTGGTGTGCAAGCACCTGTCTGGGCTTCCCGTATCCTGTCTCAAGGCGTCTGGGACCCTGCAAAGCACCCCATCTCTCTCGACGGTGTGCCAGCCATTCCCATGCCAGTCGAGATCGCCCACGAGGCTGATCTTGCCCCGTTCTTGAGCCATCTCGAGAACGGCGGAACACATGAGCTGGATGGCCACGAGAAGGGTTTTGAACTTGACGGTGGACGAGGTGAGCCGTACTATGGTGTCAAAGGCGCTGAGTTCCGTAAAGGTGTAGTCTACGAAGATGGCCGTATGGACCTTTGCAAGATGGTTGTTGGCCCCGACCACATTGGCAAGCTGATGGACTCACTTCGACCAAACGAGTTCGTCCAGCATTTCCTTCTGGGCAATAACATCATTGGTCCCGTCGGAGCTCATGAGATTGCCAACTTTATTATCGACCTCCCTGACCGAATGGACACTTGGTATCTTGCTGGTAATTGCATTGATGGACCGAGCTTCAAGATTCTTGTCAATGCCATGGTAAAATCCGAAGCCATCACTAATGTTTGGTTGAAACGCAACCCGCTTGGCCCAGACGCCTCGGAGGCTGTGTATCGCCTAATTATCGGCGTCAAGAATTTACGAACACTCGACCTTGACCAGACCCAACTCGGCGATCGAGGAGTCGCAGATCTTTTCAGCCGCTTGGCTGGCCATAAGATGCCCGAGGGTGCCAAGCTTCCCCTTAAGCACATCTATCTCAACGGCAACGGAATCTCGACTGCAGGCGCCAAAGCCATTGGCAAGTTCCTTTTGTCGCCGCACTGCAGCTTGACGTCCGTTTACATATCATCAAATCCATTTGGCGACGATGGCGCAGACGCCCTTGCCCAAGCACTGCCAAAGGCACCGTATCTGGCTCGATTGCTCTTACAGTCGATTGGAGTCAGCACCAAAGGTGCCATTGCGCTGTGCAAGGCTGCTACTGGACATCCTACACTCGAGGTGTTTGATCTTGGCCAGGCATACGCTACCCAGGATCTCGGTCAGGCCTACAACTACATCGAGGATGGAGCTGTGCCTGCAATTCAGAGCTTGGTGCAGACAAGGAGCCATCTGGCTTACATCAACTTTGGACACATGCCAATGACACCCCCGGCAGTTATGGCCATATCGGAAGCAGTTCTTAAGAGCCCAACCCTCGTCTGCTTCTCGGCCTATTCGGTTCTGCCAGACCCAAGCCTCAAACCGGCAACCTTTAAACCCACAGTTGACACTCGTTTCGCCAACCCAGCTGAGCAGACCAGGCCACAGATCGAGTTGAACAAGGCCGTGCAGGATCATCTTGTTGCCAATGTAAAGGTCCGATACGGTGAGGATACATCGTACAACCAGTTCATGGAGGAGGAGCGACGATGGCTCGTCAGCGACAAGACTGACGTACGCAAGATTGACAGTGTGTATCGTAACCGTGATGCTGGACTTGCTCGTCGTCGACTACTGACCTTGATTAAGAACTGGGAGGAGGGTGATGAGACTCTGGACCGAGTTATGAGTGCTCATGCGCCAAGTTGCTCCTTGCGCCGACACTGATTTGAGCAGTGCCAAGCGTATCAGAGCGAGCATTTACTCAAGCTCAGGCGGTCTTGATTGAACCGGCCAAATGATAGATAGTAGTCAGTCCTTACCGTTGATATAACTCGTATTATTTAGTTAGCATTAGTGGTACTAACTCAAATTGAGAATGAAACCCAAAACAATATTGTTTTGAACTTTATCGTGTTACTTCCGAGTTTCTTAATGATTGACTACTATTGTAGGTATAGTAGGATGGGATATAGAAACTCAACACCAACACTCTTTTGTTTTGTGGTGGTTAAGGCTGCTTTACAAGAAGTGACTTACTAGATGAAACAACAGAACAGACCTGCACGTGATAGCGTCTTTATTCAATGCACCTGCCGCATGCATACCATCCACGCGTCGTGTTTATGCCCTCAGCTTATATGAAATACTTTAAACCTTGATACTTAGTATATACCACATTTAGATTTAGCTGGATGCCTTTATTCCTTCTTCGACGATTTATATAACAAAATTCACGCTACATAATTCAAGCCCACCCCATTGCAAATCAATCTTCTATTCACATCTCCAGCATACGATCTAAATCAAACCTGCGTTCTAATAAGCCCTGTCGCATCAAGAGAACTTTCTTCCCATTTAACTCCTTCTCGACCACATTCTTGAGTCAAGAGGGTCGCACAGCGATGCCTCAAAAGCGCAAGCGAGCAGAACAAAACCCCGCTGATTCCGATTCTCAGCAATCCGCTGCTATTTCTGCCTCCGCACTCAAACTCAAAACGACCTCTCCTAAACCCACTGTCGCGCGTCGAGCAACGCGTCAAACCCCGGTCCCACCGCCAGCATCGTCAGCACAGCTTCAGCTTCAGCTTCAGCCTCAACCTCAACCACGCACTGAAACTGCTGTTCTGCCGCCTTCAATACCGACCTTATTGTCCAGTTCACCAAGGACGACTTCTCCAACCCAGAATCGCAAGCGTACACCGATAACCCGTTCTCAGCCGTCCAAGGCGCAATCCAGTACTGCTGCCGCCCCAGATCAAGTGCCATCGCGATCGCACATATCCCCTCCTGTACTGCGATGGGCTCCGCTTGAACAACCAGGCACAGCAATAAGGCCTCCTTCAGCAACCATGACAGCCGTTCCACCTCCACGACCTACTGTTGCTGGTGGTCGTCCGCTTTCAGATTTAGTAGCGCCTGAAATTACTTATCACGTCCCTCATTCGCATACAAACTCATTGCAGCGACATTCAGCTCTTGTCCGACCTCATGGCCCTACAGCGCAACCACCGCGTATGCTCGAACGACCGCCGCCTCCTACAGTCACACCAGTCCACCCTCCAAAACCACCTCAAGCCCCATCCGTACGCCCGCCTCTGCGAACCGACCGCAACATAGACAAAGTCGTTCTAGGTAATATGTGCTTTAGCACGTGGTACCCCAGCTGTTATGGAAAGGAAGTGCTCGGCGAGTCATCAGGGCATCCAGCCAAGACAGGCAGCAAAGAGGCAGGCGCCAAAGGCCAGGTCACTGGAGGTACATCGCCACCCGCAGTTGATCGTCTTTACGTCTGCCCCAGCTGCTTTAAATACTCCAAGGAATTAGTCGCATGGTGCCATCACGTTCATGTATGTGAGCGGAAAGCTCAAATACCAGGACGTAAGGTCTACATTCACCCGCAAGGGCGCAGAAAGATTCTGGTGCCGTATGATAACAAGGCTTCTGGACCCAAGCGGCGGAAGGGAGAAGGAAACATTCGATATGCAGAAGAGTTGGTACAAGACGAGGGAGAATGGAGCATTTGGGAGGTGGATGGTGAGAAGGATGGGGTAAGCTCACATGCTGCGATTGATCAAGCCACAATGCTAACTTAGTCCCGCAGCTCTTTTGCCAAAACCTGTCGCTCTTTGCGAAGCTCTTTCTCGACAACAAGTCTGTGTTCTTTGATGTTACGGGCTTCAACTACTTTTTGCTCGTCTATACACCCCCGGCACGGCCCCCGCTCATGTCGACAGAACCTGAACTCCCACTCCCTCGCATCATTGGTTTCTTCTCCAAAGAGAAGATGTCATGGGACAGCAACAACCTCGCCTGCATCCTTATCTTTCCTCCATGGCAGCGCAAGGGCCTCGGCGCCCTGCTAATGGGAGCTTCGTACGAAATCTCGAGAAGAGAAGGAATCCTGGGCGGACCTGAAAAGCCTATTTCGGATCTTGGCAGAAAAGGCTACAAACGTTACTGGGCTGGCGAAATCGCAAGATGGCTGCTAAATATCGAGTTAGACACCAAGAGCACTGAGAACGAAGTCCTCGTAGACCTCAATGACTGCAGCAAAGCGACATGGATTCTACCCGAAGATTGTCTGCCGGTGCTGCGAGACATGGGTGTTGTTGAAGAAGCAGGTATGGGTCCTAGTAAGCCCGAGGAGAAGCTTGTCAATGATGCAGAAGCAGAGGAAAGCAAACACGAGGGGGCGAGGACTTCGCCTGCTGCTGACGGAGTTGATAAAGGTGTGGTTACAGTGGTAAAGACAGTGCCGCGAGTGCGGATAGACAAGCAGGCAGTTCGTCGATATGTGGCAGAGAACCGGATCAGCCTGGAGCGTGTGTGCGATCCTGCCGGGTTTGAGGAGGGCTACGCGATCAAAGCGCCCGAGTTAGTAGAAGATGAAGTGGAAGAGGAAGAGTGACGGCGATGTCGGGAGTGGTGATATATGATGCAAGCATAGATAGACAGTTTAGACGCTTCGGCAATAGTGATACCCCCTTGTTCAAATCAAACAACCTTTTTCTCCCTGAACTATGATGATGTTTCAACGTTTTGATGTAATACACCTGTACAAATTTATCATGCAATTGAGTCTCGGCATGTCTGTCCTAGAGTGAATGTCATAATGGGTTCTGGATGGTGGCATGTCTATTTTTCGCCCATGCCAAACCGAAACCCGCCAGGTCTTTGGGTGCATATTAGTCGAAGCGGTGTCGGTAATAACACCAAATAAGTCAAGAGCGTGCGTTTTTATGTATGTTTGTAGCATTTATGAGAACCAATGGCTCTATAATATACACCAACCTGACGTGGCTCTTTCATCGATTCTCATGATACATCTCTTTCAGTCACTACTGTATGTACGTATATCTATGTGCTTTCCAAAAGAGGCAAAGAGCTTGGACCAAGATGTCAACTTTTGCACAGGGTCGTCCGAACGAGCCCATCCCGATTTTGCCCTTGTGTGAAGATGTTGACTCTGGCACGCCCCCCTTGGACCGAAAATTTTTCGCCGATTTCAATCTGTCCTACTCTGACGGTCTACAGTCATGCTGATGAGCTTTTGTACCATGTAGGCCCTGGTCACCCCAGACTACGCCATGGTTACTAAACCGTTGTTCTATATGTAGTCTTGCCTTGCAGGTATGGGGATTCAAGATGAGATTCGAAATATGGGGAGGGCTCCTCTGAATCTGGTTTCAAGATTATGTTTTGGACCGGCTGAAGAGATGTACTGTCCTGCACTGTCCTGCACCTCTACCTAAGGCAAGGCTGCGAGTCTGCCACAAGGCTGTGCACAGTGCCATGTTTTTTGTGAGTGTCCAAGGGCTTCAATCGCTCGTTTGTTGCGGCTTTCTTGCAATGGAAAAAGGCTGACAATCAACACTAATCTAAAGTGTAATACTGTCAGATCTATTCAACACTGACGTTCCTACGAAGTTAATTGAAACAGGGTAACAACAGCATAAAGTTTGGAATGATCTCCCAGGGTGTTAATTGGTATGACGGCGTCACATAGACTTTATCATGGCTTCTGTTCTTATGAGGCGCTGCAGCCATCCGCGTTAGCTCAAGCCGTCCACGCACTGTCCTACCATCAGTGAAACTTATAGTGAGATTTTCATGCCAATTGCTGCTCGATTGAGCTGAGTAGGAAAATTTTTCCAGTTCCCCAAGGACACATGGAAAGGTACCAGACCCACTATCAGTCGCCAACTTTCAACATCAAATCTCCATCTTGCCGTCTATTGATTGATATGAAAAATACCTACAGTCTCGAGTCGAATTGAGTATGAGATTCTTCATGAATCGATACTAGAATCGCATCATAAAACTTTGATATCTGTAGAGTGCGCTCACCTTGGATACCAACCACTTTGAAGTTAACAAAACCTGACGTCGTAGTACCAACAGCATTTCACGCACTGTACTATGCAGCATTCGTCGAATTTCATATACATGATGAGCTGTGTCAATCATCTCGATAGTCCTCCTCTATCGCTGGGGGTCTTGATTTCGTTTGACCAGCTTCTGATCACCTCTCGAAATCCACCCACGTGGAATATCTCTCGATTGATTTGATCAAGGCATTTTGTGAAGGCACTGAATTCTTGACTTAGTACCGCGTCACATATGCACACTGTACATATTCTAATATGGAGGGGTGTGTTCTTGGCCTAAAATTGTTAGGACTGCCACTCTGTTCATCCAAGTCAGCCAATCAAGAGCTGATTTCGGCAACCTTCTGTTTCCAGGTACCAGCCAGACAACCCGCCATGGTATCGATTCTTTCGAGATTGTCACTTAGCCTTGGCTAGACAGGTGCAATACCTGTGATTCAACAATGATTGAAAATATTCCCCGAGATATAGTAATTTCTACCATTGATCCCCTCTTCAATTCGCTCGTGAAGATGGTGATACACAACATGAAGACGTTCACCCAGCCGTTATAAACCATTCAAGCTGTTGTTTTACTGTCTCGGAATTCCGCTAGGCCCGTTCGTTGTCCGCTGCCCGTAAAACACTCACTGAGCCTTGGTCGCTTTAGTCCAAATTGGTGAGGGTCTTGGTTGTTCCGGCTTTGTCCCTCCTTGGTACCGAAACTTCTCAAGTGCGTGTTCCATCGTCGGCCCAACCCCCAGCTGGCGTTCGTAGTTGTGCCTCGCCCATGATTCATGGTCCACCGCCAAGCGCGTCCCTCCGACTGTAAAAGCCTCAGGCCTGAAAGTCTTCTCAGGCTTTGTAGAGCAATCACAGTGCAGGATTGCTGTAGCTCACCCCACCCGATTTCCCCCGAAGGCTAGACAGCCCGTGTAGAGGTTGAATCTTTGGGCTGATTCACACCCGTGATATCATGCCCATTCCCATCATTTTTCAGCGCTCTTGCGCTGTTCAACAACCCTCTTTTTTGTCTCATCTGGATGGTATTTCACCCTGATCTAGTTGTTGATTGAATCGCCATTCTCACCCGGTTTCTTCGTAACAATATATCGTTCGGATTGTTCGTTGCTGCTCTTTCTCTCAAGCGTTGCCCCGGCTGACATCCTCACACCCCCTGGTAATATCCACCCGTGTGGGCCCACCTATCCTCACTTTCTTCCCGGCTCCAGACGCTTTCTCTCTTCCCTTTTCCTTTTCCCACTACCGCCCTGTCTCGTGCTGAGCTCCGTATCTCTTTTCTTTAAACCTCCCATCAGCCTCTCCCTCTTTCAACCATCAACCATCTCCCCTCACAAATCAATCACAATGGCCTCTTCTCGTGTCTTCGCCTCTCGCCTGGCCTCCCAGATGGCCGTCAAGGCCGCTCGCCCTGCTGTCCGCGCCCCCGTCGCTGCTGCCAGCAAGCGAACCATCTCTGGTAAGTTTTTGATGCGGCAAAATTTTTCTTCGAGCTCAATTGAGCTCGGTGCCGAACCCGACTCGATCGAACTTCGCCCATCACGATCAATGAACAATTCGCTCACAATCGATTAAGGCGCCAGCCCCCTCCAGGCCATGAAGCGTCAGACTCTTCTCCAGGCCACCACCCGCAACGCCTTCCAGGTCCAGCGCCGTGCCTACTCCTCCGAGATCGCCCAGGCCATGGTTGAGGTCTCCAAGAACTTGGGTATGGGTGCCGCCGCCATCGGTCTTACCGGTGCTGGTATCGGTATCGGTCTTGTCTTCGCCGCTCTTATCAACGGTGTTGCCCGCAACCCTGCCCTCCGTGGTCAGCTCTTCTCTTACGCCATTCTGGGTTTCGCTTTCGTCGAGGCCATCGGTCTTTTCGATCTGATGGTTGCCCTCATGGCCAAGTTCGTAAGTCAAACCATGATCTCTACCGGTCCGTGCACCATTGAATATTTACTGACATCTGTACGCAGACTTAAGTTACTACCCAACCCAATGGGTAGACTCGTGCCGAATGATCGAGTCAACGACACGGAGGAGGCTGCCGAGCGTTGTGCATTATACCGTGTCTTGAAAAATTCGACATGGGTGCACTTGATGCCGGCTTGCACGATAGAGGGGAGGTTGTCTTGTAATAGACGGGATAGAGAACTGGGATGGACATTGATCATGGACACTTGCTATGATTAGAGTTGGGGAAATTCTGCATAATTCCTCCCAGGGATCGACTTGTAAAATAAAAAGCCTCATTCATCCCGCTTCTTCCAATGCATTAGGATATTTCCTTTTTTTCATCACTCAATGAATTGCCTCTCCAAGAAGAAAGAAAAAGATCTTATCTCAACAAAGTTCAAATTGAAGTTTCAATTGACTTTCAGGTGATGACATCGTTCCGAGTAGCTCCTGTTATGCATGAGAGCTTTCATGGACATGAGGCATTTGCTATGCCTGAGCTCCCGTGGGCCGGTGCCGGGATTTATCGACATGCTAACCGGTCAGGCTGGCAGACACTCGTCTTGCCAGCTTAGCCGAATTGACCCGGACTTGATCCAGAATTGTCCCCTCGAAGCTGGATGGATGCCTTGAAACACAGGCATGATGCTGAAGTTTCTTGTGCGATGTGAAGTCTCCACACGGTGCAAAACTTGCGCTGTTAGCGTGAGTCGCTAACTGTAGCGCACTGACATAAACCAATCGTGAGTCGTAGACTCGTAGGCGAGTCGTTCAAGTGGATTGAAGGAAGACTCAATGACCCAGGTGAATTGATAGTGGAGCTGTTGTGAGGGTATGTAAAGAAACGCAAATCCACCTGATAATATTGTGTCGAGTTGCCCTGAGCAGTTGCAGTTGTTGAGCAGGTGCTAAATCCCAAATCGAAATGCAATGGCCTCGGATCGGCGCCAGTCCGAGCAATCCATCTGTGTCGATACCACATCCAGTGGCTTTTAATGACTACCGAGCACCATAGCCACAATACGACCTATCAACATTTTGATATGCTGTGTACCTTGTGCACAGCGTGACGACCATGCGAACGAAACGAACGAACATATGAATGACGAAGCACTGTGAAAGCTGCATTGGCCGATAACGAGTTGTCCTGATAGTGAACACTGAAGACCCCTGATGCAGCATGCCGTATTCTTATGTGTGCATCAATTGATTTCGGTATGAACTGTCAACCGTGAGCGACAATTCTCCGTGTTGGGGTTTTCGAAGAATCCTCGGAGCAATCGAAGGAGCAGCATTTTATATTAGTAACAGCGCAGTACCCGTATCGACCGACCGACAGAGTCTGGGCATGAGGAAGGATATATGTGGCATTTTCAAAACCGAGGTTTAAAGACGGTTCAAATGAACGAGGGGAAGGATGAGGACGCATCGTGAATGAGAGATCAACCGTACGCCATCCTGTTCCTGACGAGTCTCTTGAGATCGATGTGTGTGCAGAAATGTATGGGAGGGTTTTACCTTATAGGCGAGATCTCTTTCGGATTGGCTCAGTACGAGGAGCAACAGGTTGAACAGTGAAAGGAGAGGGCAGGCGCCCATAAGAATTCGACATACTAACCTGAGTATAAGCTCACACGTATATGCCGTGCCTTTCTTTGTAGAAGAGCATGGTTCTGGTATAGTATTAGTGCGCTGTCATGAGTGCTCTTCTCTTTCTCGGGCCGTACTCACATTCACAGACTTGGTAGGTCGCAGTTTGTTTTGACCAAGGTTCACCCCCTACTCCACCACGTTCGAAGCGTTGGCGTCGTTTGGGCAGTGTAAGCCACTTTGAACGTCGCAGCACCATGGTGGCTCGAATCCATCAGTATTCAACAAACAACATCCAACGATCAAGGGGAAGATGAAGAAGAATAAGAGAATAAAGAGGACCAGACGGCTGCATCTTGGGTTTCATCTCATCTCTTTCCCCTCACCTGAATCACATGACCCAAGAGGTCTTGTCTGGCAACCCGGCCCCCTCTACTTATACAACTGTGTCACATCACCAAGGATATTTAGCAACTAGGCCATTGTGTATGCAGGGCGTGGCGGTGGAGTCGGTGGCCGCTGGGTGTGGGAGAGAGACACTGGATCGATGTCTTTGGTATGCGTCGTGTTTCTGGGAACCATAAGGTGAGACTCGGTTGAAGGTTGTCGGCCGGATGAGGATTTGGAAGCAAAGGTAAGAGCGGTTGTCATTTGAGAGAGAGAAGGGGAGAGAAATTAAACAAGGAAGTCGAGGTGTTATTGACCAAGCCAAGTTTTGAGTAATGGCCCAGGGACAGAGTAAGATTATCCGAGTCACAAAGATGAAAGTGAGGGGAAGACAACGCCGTGGCTGCCGTCCAAAAGATGAAGGGGGCAATCAGCCGAATAGAGGCTCCTGCATTTGGTAGGGACGCCTGTTGGATGGCACCTTCCCAGTTCCCGCGATTGGTTATGCTACCCATCCTACACCGCGTGCCTTGAACCTTGGACATTGGGGTGGCATTCAAGCCCAGCCGTCAGCAAACCCAAATGGCTGCGTAGTGATTGTGATTTGTCGAAACGCAAGGGGAAAGCGACGGTTTGACTTTTTAGGCTGCAGCTGCCTATTTTTACTTGTTCAGTTGATAGCATCAATTACGTATTTTTCTCTAACATTATCAACTGTAGACTTTTATATACTATCACGCGACAAGCCTGTAAACATTATCTATTTATGTCACGGTCAAGGTCAAGGCCTGCAGCTACCTATGTATTGAACTCAGAGACCATTCAAAGCGGGGAAGGTTTGAAAATCCGGGGTAATTAGGGTACGGGTAACTCTTGCCTCCCTTCCGTAGTGGAGCTTGCATTATTGCATCGTCTCTCTGCGCCCTGGTATTGGATAGCTCTCGGGTTTCACAGCTTCAAGAATTGGCCTCCATCATTCGATTCATATGTCTGGGTGCTCCGATGGCTCTTCTTGTATACTCGTGCATGAAAGTCTTCATGCAAAATGGCCGGAGTATTTACCCTGTTCGATCCCTAGCACCCTGGAAATCGTACATACCATTGCTACGCCAACATGGTTCGGCAATTCATCGACAGCCTGTCCTTGCACAATTTCAGGGCAGAGTTAGAGGGATGTGAAGTCCAAAAGACTAGCTGGGTGAAGTAAACCCATCGATTGATCTAATATGGTGGGTAACCTGGACAAAGATAGACGCTAAAATCTTGCCAGAATAGAAGTCACGCTGCCAGAATTTGCCCAAATTTCATGAGCGCAAGGTAACTAAGCTGTTCTTCCTACACTACACCTAAACATTTTCCCATATATCGCGCAGTTACTGCCTAATGAGTTTAAATATGACCCCAAGCACATTACATTTACAAACTGGAAAAAATGAATGAGTAGAAACGAATATGAAGGATTTTGAGAGCATATCTATCCTGCGTCATAGTCTAAGCCCGTGAACTCCTGGTTTTGCAATAATTACCCAGTGCCTCTCCAACCCAATACATACACCTTATTTCTTGAATGTCGCGCTTCGCTCACCTCTCACTGGAGGTGCTTTGCGAGCTCCCTTGATGTCCGTGTCTGCAGACTTGGAATAGGGGTCAAACACCCTCTTCTTGCCCTTGACATCAGCGTTTGGTTCCCTCTTCGTATTGACCACTGATGTGGCCTTGCTATAATCAAAAGGCACTGCATCAAATTTCTTGACCTTATCATCCTCCTTTCTCTGTTTCTTCTGGGCTTTGCGGGCCTTCTTGGCCTCTTGCCGTCGGAGTTGTTCTTCCTTAGCCTTCTTCTCCTCTGCCTTACGCTGCTTGCGACGGGCAGTTCTGGATTCTGCTTTACCAGACTCATCCTCGATAGCAATGACTCCATCATCATCTTGCATCTCCTCGTCACTGTCTGAATCTGAGGATTCGGATCCTTCCTCACTAGAATCAGATTCCTCCACCGCATCCGACTTTCGTTTCTGTCCTCTCTTTAGAGTAAATTCCTCATCTTCCTCTTCAACTTGAGCACTGCCCCCTGCATTCTCCACATGATTGGGTTGTTCAGGGACCACAGCCGGGTCGGTGACGGTATTGTGTTGAACGTCTCCCTCAATCGTGCCCTGTTCAACGAACTTCTGCCAGGGGAACGGAATAAGATCCTCCTCAGCTTCGGAACGTCGCGTCGAAACATCCCACTGAGTACTAATCGGCATATCTCCAAATAACTGCGATCGAGTCAGCCTACTGACTGTGACCTCTCCATCAAGGTCTGGTAACTTTGTTGTCTTCCTGGCCGCAATAGGGACGCCATTCCTCATAAGACTGTCTGGTGCCATCGAAGTAAAAAAGTGAAGCAAACTTCGGCCCCCCTTGGCCTTGGACTCCTTGATGTACCCCCAGATCTCGTTGAAGCGCGGCCTGGCTAGCGATGCATTAAGAGGCAGCAAGCTGTGGAGGGCTTTTGCGTCCGGTGGGTTGATGCGAGAAATTTCCGCAATGTCCCTGGTACTGAGAACGAAGTTGGTGCTCTCGTCCTCCTTCCTGGCTGTGTTATCTCTCCATTTCCACAAGGCTCTGAAGACAGAGAATTGCTCGCTATCGAAGGCCATATGAGAGTTCTTGAAAACGTATGAGTACCAACCGCGAGAACCTTCACCGGTCTCCTCGTCGTAGCCGGGCTGTTCGTAGCGAGATAGAGACTGCTCTCTTGATCTTTCAAGGGCGCGACCAATGAAATCTTTGTCGGCATCAGATTTGTCTGAGGCTGCAATAAGCTCGTTTCGCACGCGATCGTAAATGTAAAGTAGGTAGTGGGTATCAGACCGAGCATAGTACAGCATCTCCTTGGGCAACGGCCTTATTCTCCAATCTGCCAACTGATATTGTTTGTCCGCGTCAAAGTCGACAAACTTGGACAGTAGGTACGCAAGACTCTTGGCAGGATAGTTAAGTTGCTCACAAGCGAAAAAGGTATCAAAGAGACCGTTCACGTAAAGTCCCAAATCTCGCTGCAGCCATACCATGTCCATATACGCACCGTGGAAAACCTGTCATTGTCAGCAAGAACTCGCCGCGTTGAGCTTGAAACACGCACCTTGACGATCTTGGGGTCAGTGAAAACTTGGTTGAGAACTTCGAGTTTATGGCGCCAGGGTTGCAGAGTATCGACAATCCAATCTTTCTCACGTGTGCTGACCTGCATCAGAGACACAAGTCCGACATAGGATCTGAAGTCATGATGTTCCAGGTCTACCGCAATCTCCTTCGCCTTCTTCAGCTCTTTCAGCATTTCGAGAACGCCTTCATATGTATCAACGAAAGTTGCTTCGGTCGTGTCAACAGGCTGATACATGATGGGCTCGGCTTGTTTAAAAACTCGTTTGGGGTATGCCATGCGGACAATCTCGTGCTCGTAAGGATGTTGATATCTGTTGTCAGGTGGTCAGTAACTAGTATTGCACAAAATCACAAAGAAGTGTAACTATAAGCATGGTAGACATACTGCGGCGTCCCGGTTTCGTCAGGCACGATATTGAGGCTCTCTTCTAAAGAAACCTTGGCGTTTGGCTTGGATGTAAGCATCGGCTTCCAAGGCGGTGGAGCAAAGTTGTCGGGCTTTCGCTCAAACTGAAGTTGAGGCTTGGACATGTTGGCGTTTCGAATGACCTTGTTCGTCGATTTGGGTTTCTTGGTCTTGTTCTATTGATAACAAGTTTTAGTTGAGAAATTCAGTAGGGATACAGTTGACATACAGAATCCGAAGCAGGGGGCTCCTTTCTCTTGACAAGTCCTGTGTACTCATCCAGCGCTGTGTCGGCCTTTTCGAGTGAAGAATCAACGATATCGACCACCCCTCTCCACTTCATCTCGATATCTTCTACATCCTCAAGCTTAGGCGCCTTGACACCACATGCCTTTCCGGTCGATTGCAACAGTCGTGTGGATAATTCGAGAATCCGTGAAGTTCGATCGTCAAGTTGTTGGCCCACATTAGGATTGACTGTACGCTGGAAGCTCAAGTCTTCGGCAGCGATACGGTTTACAGTCTTGATTGTAGAGACAAGTGACTTCTGGATGCTATCCTGGAGCGACTTGAAATCCTGTGACTTCTCCATGGTTGCGACAAAGAAGTGCGCGTTGCGCGTGTCGTTAATAATTTTGCTGGTGGTCGCGATGCAGTATTGTTCTCGAAAAATTACAGGCTTTGCTTTGTTGCACTTATCGATAAGATAAGATAATACATGTTGGAGGAAATATTTTAGTATACATTAGTAGTATACCGGTATACCTACCACTGTAAAAAAGACCAGACGAGATTGTTAGTGGTCACTTAGGCTTCATGCTCACTGATAAAGTGATCTAATATTTCTGTATAAATCTATCTACCAATTCATCCAGCTTTGTGGTATTTGATCAAAGATACAATGGACTCCTTCTTTGCACTCCCGTCCTCCCCAAAACAATAAACATTTCATAAAGGAGTTACCAAGTTTCCAGTCATGGAACAAAAGACGTAGGTCCAAGTCTTCGTAGCATTTTACAAGGCATACATTCCGTCTAGACGATTCTGGTTGTTTAGTGACGGCAACCGGACCGACGGTTATACATGGCCTGTCTAGGCATTTGAGACTGGTATCAGAGAAATGGTCCAGACCAACCGCTGGTATACGTTGGGTAGAGATGAAGACGGATTCAAGCCCGAGCTCTTCCTAGTTTCACAATTCTCGGGCTTTCTTTATTTCTATTTTAGAGGCGGCAGATATCTAGGACATTCTGGTCCGGCCAACAAACCTGAGCAAGGTACGAACATGGTTGTGATCTTATCGTTAATTGGCTAATTAGCTTTCTATGATAGAAAGTCCACTTTGCGGATTGGAAGACGGTAAAGTACCTGTCTGCTCACCTAGTACAAATTGGGCTTTGTGACTCTCAACTAATACATAGAACACTAAAGAAGCCTGTTCTGCATGCGTCACTATTGGATCAGATGTTTGAGATCAAGCTTTGAATCAGTCGTGTGGAGACTAGCTCTTTCTTGACCGGTTTTTAACATTTGTCCATCGTCTTCGGCTTTAGACTACACCTTGAGAATAGACAACATGACCGAATGCCTGTGATGTCCGTATATAGTGGCCGATGAATCGATCCCGTCTCCGGACACACCTCCGGACTGTCTCCCGAAACAATTGTAGGAGCTGCAGTAGGCGCCAATAGTTGAAGGCATAGAAGTGGAGAGAAGTTGTCGCATTATCTTTTTAATTCCTCTTATTGATGAACATGTACCACCCCATGGCCAAATGACAGGCACCTGATGATGTTTGTGTTGTGTGATGTTGTTCTGATAATGATCAGTGGTATTGTAAATGCCTCTTCCTCCACTCCTCAGGTCAAAGAAAACGGCCCGGATGAACGTCAACCAGGGAGCGGAAGGTATCGGATTGCGGGATAATACTGTTTTGAGTTGAGGCAAAAGAGAACATGAGAGAGAGATAACCAGCGACTTCGTTGTTAAGAAATCAACCCAAATCGGATGCGTATCAAGAAGGAAGAAACGAGGCAAACCATGTGTCGATTCGTTTAGTTGGAAAGCTGGTGGTATTCTAGATAGTAGTAGCTAGTGCATTTTACCTACTAAACTACCTTACTATAATCTCCTGAAACTATCAACGGCTTTTCATAATTGACAGGCACAAGCTGGCAAGCATAGAGATCTTTCTTTGGCAAGGTACACGACTGGTCTAGGTTGGGCTGGTTGCAGACACCAAATGCCAGAAAGAATGCCCCTCACTTGCTGTTTTTTCTCTTTTCTTCTTATCCCCTCAGCCCCATCCTTGTGACAGAGGTACTTGCCTGCTTCTTTCTGTCCAGCTTCTGGCTTCTTCCGTCCTATTGCTTCCTATAAGACCTCACTGACCTCCTCTCATTTTGTTTCCTTCTTTCCCTCCCAAATCTGCCATATTGCTTTCTTGTGAAGCCACTTCACTTTGAGTGAATCGCCAAATCAATCTGACTGATAAGCATCAACCTTGTTCTTCAAGTAGGTACTTGACAGTATCCGCTTACCACGCTTTTCTCCAATTAATCGACTGACCTCACGCGCAATAGCGTCATCGTTCCGCTACTCAACAACCCAAAGCTCCTTACGCTAAATCTAACCCCACTGTCTACTGGGGATCTACGCCTCTCGGCGTTGCGCCAGCTGCCAGGTCAATTCCCTGCCCCTCCACAGACCATCGCATCGAATCGACCATCGAACAAGAGCCGCGACGAGACGAGACCGATCACACCAAACCTGATCCTTTTCTCATTCTTTCAATTTCTCTCTCTTTGATCTTTTCACCTTCGAAGTTCATCTTCAAGACCTTTCGTCAAACACAATCAGAATGCCAGAGACCGTCGGAGAGAATGGCAACGCCGCCCCAGGCCGTCTGTTACTGCTTTCCAACCGTTTGCCCATCACCATTAAGCGATCTGAAGATGGGAGCTATTCATTCTCCATGTCCTCTGGTGGTCTGGTTACTGGACTAAGCGGTCTCAGTAAAACCACTAGCTTTCAGTGGTATGGTTGGCCTGGTCTCGAGGTCCCCGACAACGAAGTCGATGGTATGAAGCAACGACTAAAAGACGAGTACGGCGCACACCCTGTTTTTATCGACGATGAGCTTGCAGACAGACATTACAACGGTTTCTCAAGTAAGAACCACAAGCTCCTTGCCACTTAGCCATGCCTTTCTAACGAAATATCTCCAGACTCGATCCTCTGGCCTCTATTCCATTACCACCCTGGTGAGATCACATTCGACGAATCCGCATGGGCTGCATACCAGGAGGTCAACCGCCTCTTCGCCAAAACTGTTATCAAAGATGTTCAGGACGGTGACCTTATTTGGGTCCATGACTACCATCTGATGCTGCTTCCTCAGATGCTTCGTGAGGAAATTGGCGAATCAAAGAAGAACGTCAAGATTGGTTTCTTTCTTCACACACCATTCCCCAGCAGTGAAATCTACCGAATCTTGCCTGTACGAGAGGCACTCCTCACTGGTCTCTTAGACTGCGATCTCATCGGCTTCCACACATACGACTACGCTCGTCACTTCCTTAGCAGTTGTTCTCGCATCCTCGAGTGCCCCACGACACCAAACGGCGTTGACTGGAACGGCCGTTTTGTGACCGTCGGTGCCTTCCCTATCGGAATCGATCCCGATAACTTCGTCGAAGGCCTGAAGAAACCAAAGGTGCAGGAGCGAATCGCTGCTCTTAGCCGCAAGTTTGAGGGCGTCAAGCTTGTTGTTGGTGTCGATCGATTGGATTATATCAAGGGCGTTCCTCAGAAGCTCCACGCTCTTGAGGTATTCCTTACCGAGCACCCGGAATGGATTGGTAAGATCGTCTTGGTTCAGGTCGCTGTACCTTCACGACAAGACGTCGAGGAGTACCAGAATCTTCGTGCTGTTGTCAACGAGCTGGTTGGCCGCATCAACGGAAAGTTCGGTACCATTGAGTTTATGCCTATCCACTTCCTTCACCAATCTGTCAACTTCGATGAGCTCACTGCACTATATGCTGTTTCCGACGTCTGTCTTGTTTCATCCACCCGTGATGGCATGAACCTTGTTTCTTATGAGTATATCGCAACACAACAAAAGAACCACGGTGTTATGATTCTCAGTGAATTCACGGGCGCTGCTCAGTCTCTTAATGGTAGTTTGATTGTCAACCCCTGGAACACAGAGGAGCTTGCCAACGCCCTACATGACGCCGTCACAATGAGCCCTGAACAGCGCGAGGCCAACTACAAGAAACTCGAGCGTTATGTCTTCAAGTATACAAGTGCTTGGTGGGGTGCCAGCTTCGTTGCCGAGATGACCCGCCTTAGTGCTGAAGGTTCTCAACCCAAGACTCTTCGCAATGTCTCGGGTGCAGTGATTGGTTTGGAGCAGAAGGCACAGCAAATTGTTACTGGACTCGAGAAGAAGGTGGATGAACTGTTGCCAGGTAACGAGAAGGATGAAACCGAGACGAGCGAAGAGCCTTCTCAATAAAAGTCGTTAAACGGGGCATGAGTATGAAAGGAAGGGTTAACGTGTTTGGGTTTAAGCGGTCATGATTTGGGATTTCCTTGAAGTCTATTCTTTTTTTTATAAAAATCCAAGCGGCTTTGTCGCTTTCCAATTCACGGTCGACTATGTTGTTGGCTCACTAGTGCACCTCTAGAATCGTCTGTTATTGACTCTTTGCCCGACGTGAACAACGTGTTGGCCCCAAATAATGCTACGATTTTCTAATGTCAGTATGCTGGTCCGTAATGCTCATGCAGCCTATCAGTATTTGTTTCAGTATATGATCCTGAGAGCAGTCCGAAGAACATAAACTGAATTGTTTGTGATGCTTAAGCATCGGCAGCTGGTATCTAAAATAAAGAAGCATGAAGGCTCAAACCACTTCATGTCTTACAAATCCCAAAAATTCCACAAAACTCCTTTGATCAGATCTCCCGACTAAGTCATGTCACCACACAGGAATCCCCCTTAATCTGAAATGCTGACCGCGTGTGTACTCGTAACTTCTTACCAATCCACTCAATAGGGGGCATTGACGATGTCATCTTTGCCTAACTTGTATCTACCGCTCTCATGGTTCCCAATACGCCCCGAACCCCTGTGCGAGCCACCAAGCCGAATATTGCCAACAATGCTTTCACGGGTTGGCTTCTTGAGGCTCTGCTTCGCCACCATGTTGACCTCATTAGGCAGAGCGACAATGACGTTCTTGTCTGAGCCAAATTTAAAGTCGTCAGCCTTGACCTCTTCTTCATAACGCTTGATCTTGTACGATGCCTTCATGCCTCGGAGGATGCGCTTTAAGTTCCATTCGATAATGTACGGGCCTGTGGCAGTGATAATACTTGTTTCTTCGGCGCCCTCTCCAGTATTGAACTTGGCAGGCGTGAAGTCAACAGGCTTGCCAGTTTCGTGGTAGAATTGAGCAACATGCTCGGGAGTCAATGCAAGACGTCGAGGATGAGGCTTGTCAGTGGCCGCGAATGCCTTCTCAAATCCAAGCTTGCCTTCATTCTTGCCAGACTTTTGCTGAGCGTCAACAAGGAGGATGTAGTTCTTGGTAGTTCCCAAAATCCAACGACCATCAGCAGAGACATCGATGCCAGAGATCGGATCACCCAAAGCAGGAAGTTGGGTCTTGGCTCGAATACCAAGACGATCAAACAGTCTGATATCTCCTTTGTTGCTGGCGACAGCGATGTAGCCCTTTTCGGTGGTCGCAAGAGCTGAGAAGTCGTTCTTGGATGCGTATTGCTTCATATCGGCATCTACAAGTTTGTTTCCAGACAGTCGAGGATCAACGCGGTACAACGCGTTGTTTGAAACACCCAGGAAGGTCTGTTCAGACGTCATTTGCGCAAACTTGTTCTCAGGCGCAAATGTGACAACGGGAATATCATCGTGCACATGCCATTCGTCAACAACCTTCCCGTATTCTAGATCCATGCGGTAAAGCTTGTTCGGATCTATTTCGTTTTGCAAAATAAGGTCGCGATCCTCGCTATGCAACATAACCTTCTTGGGATTCATCAATTTACCCGATGGAGTGGTGACCTTGGAAATGTTGGTGGAGAATTCGAGGTGATTATTAGGCGTGTGCTTGAATACACCGATCTTAGATCCGCGGACAACAAAAGAGCGATCGTGCTTGTAGCCGACTGCCAGCTGGGAGTTGACCTCGCCATCTGCATTCTTGGGAAAGCTGCTGTCGTTTTCCTCATCGCTGTCGTATTCTTCGTCTCGGGCACGATCATCGTCGAGCTCTTCTTCCTCTTCCTCCTCTTCTTCCTCCTCCTCGGTCTCGGGGGCGTCTTCCATTGTTAAATCACCAAAGGCATCGAGAACGTATTCACGTTCCTTGTCTTGCATTTTTTGCCACTTGGTCTCGTTAAGCCTTTCCCAAATGGCTTGCATGATTGCTTCTTGGAACTTTTCAAGGGTAGGCTGATCCTTGAACCGAAGTAGCCAGGATCGCGCGGTCCCATCGTTGCTGAAGTGGTTGAAGACGAAGGAGAGGTATTCAAAATCGAATACGGGGTTGAAGTCTGCGACGACAGGAGTACCCAGGTAAGCTTTATCACCGGACTCGATCTGAAGCCAGTACTCCCACTTTCCAACCTCCGAGACCTGGGCAATGATGGAGTCGTCGACAAGGGCAAAATGTCCAGGCTGAGGGTCAAATACATGAAGCTCTGCCGTGACAGCAGCATAGATCTCTATGGCTTCAGGTGGGTTGTTGGCATCGGGTCCAGTTAAGACTTGTGGCTCAATCTCCTGCTCGGGGACAACTTCCCGAACAACCTCTGGGGCACGCTTCACAGCAGAGTTGGCGGCATTCTTGGACAACATGTCGTCGACAGACTCGATAGATCGAGCGAGTGTAGGACTATGAAGTGGGCTCGCAGGTGGGATAGGATCTTCCTCTTCAAACTCAAATTGCTGGAGGTCGGCCTCTGTAGCAGTGGAGTTGGGCTTGCGGTACTTGCGTTCGTACTGGCACTCTTGAGCGACTCTCACAAACTGCTGTACTTGCGCTGATGTGACAGAGGAGTCGCAAACAAACTGAAACAGGTCGCCAGTATCGCCGCTAAGATCCTTCCAGGCAAGAACCTTGTCACCAGTTTCTCGGATCTCGAAACGGAACGACAAAGCTTCGTCTAGCAGGAAGGTCTTTTCGTCCTTCTCGGATGCAAGAGCGTCGATTTCTGCGTCTTCGCCTTCCTCCTCAGCAAGGAGTTCTGCCTCGCCTTCTTCAAAAACACGCTGTACGACGAGCTGGTATTGGAATTCTTGGTTGGTGCGACGGATTCGGATGGCGGAATCTCTGAAGATGAGTTCGGAGTAGCCCTTGGGCGATAGAGGTCGAACGAGGTAGAGTTGGCCTTGAGGCAGCTCGATCAGGGTTTCCTGTGCGCTTGAACCGAAGATGAGCTTGCCGACTGGAAGAAAAAGGAAAAGATTAGTCGTGATATAATTTGACTGAGATGATGCAATGAATCGGAAAGTAAAAATATGAAACACCAAGCAGTCGGCCGATCCTGCACTTTATGCTGAAAGTGCAGTTGTTGGTTATAGGCGAAGGGTAGGGATGATGCGGGGCAGTCACTTACTTCCTCGTAGGGCGAACATGCTGATCCTGGCTTCTGAAGGCAGAAGAAAGAAAAAGGGAAAGAGGTGGGCGTAAGTGCGTGATGCGTGGGTGGACGTTGGCTCTTAATCAGAAGCTATGGCGCTGATGCGATTTCCCTAACTTCAGAAATGAAGAGGGAGGAAAGAAGAAATGGAAAGACGACGATACTATCGCCGCACTATGAACTAATAAAAAGCTGTGACGTGACGATAAGACACAGGGCAGAAGCGGGTAGGATCAGGCAGGGTCGCTCCTTCCCGTTCGCTACTGGCTCTTTCTTTTAGTCTTCTGCTTGTCTTGTGACAGCACGAAGGGAAAGTACAGTTGTGACAACACCTAACGTCAGATTTGACTAGGCCAACAGTTTGGGGCAAGAGCAAGCTAGAGCGTCTGTGAAGGTAACAAGCTGCGTCATAACAAGGAAGGAAGTACAGTTGAGAGACTGTTCACGCCAGGCTGTTTTTTTCTCTTTGTGTACTTTGTTCTTAACCTTGGTTGGAGGGGTGAAGGAGGGGTCCTTTTTGCCACAACTAACGTGCGCCACAGAGAACTGGGTGTCAAAAATACTAGATCGGTTTGCACGGAAATCCACCGCTTCCTCACCCGTTCATGTCTATGTTTTCTTTCACGCGAATTAAAGAGGCTAATGTAGTATTGTTTCAGATGTGGGGATTGCTTCATTTCCGTTGTCAGTTCAACAAGATTTAGACATCAAACAAAATGATTTCTCAAAAGAAGCTGTCATGCAATTTGCCTGTCATATCTCACATATGGTTTTGTATAATGAACGACTCTGAGGCTACAGCAGACACGCTCAAATGATGGTAGAAAAACAAGAAATGAAGTAGTGAACCATAGAAAGGTAGGTACTCATTGCCGTTAGAGCTCACCTTCAGCCTGCACTTTGATGCCTTCCACGTCTTTTCCCGATGGCCCTTTCTTATCAACCACAACTAAGGGTTCATCTGGGTGAGAGATCCCAGCAAAATGGTCAACCGCCAGTCGAGCCACATTCCTACCCATGAAAGCACTGGTCTCCATACATGATATGAAGCTTTCAATACCGGAAGTGTAATAGACACCATTACCAATAACAGGGTCCTCAAATGTAACACGAGGTAGCTCGATGGGATAAGCGTAGAACCAGTGAGGATAATACCACGAGATGTCCTCGTTCTGTTCCTTACCAGAGACAACCGGTTCAGGAACCTCGGTCCCCAAAATGCGGGTAAGGAACTCCGCGGTGACGGCTTTGGGCGAGAAGATCTTATAGACGCGCTCCTTCTGTCCAGTTTTGGGGTTGGTGATGTATTTCAAGGTGCTGATTGAGTAAAAACCGGTACGGCCAACACCATCGGCCCCTTGTCCTGCTTCTTCGCCCTCAGCCAAGGTCGTGTAAACCGTGGCGGGTGCCTTGCTACCGGGCTTCAGGCCAAAGAACTCGGGGTTCAGCTCTAAAGGCGATGCAAATAGTGTAACGTGAAGTTTGGTGTATGGAATCTCGTCGATTGCACGATCCAGAACACCCTCTCCCGCCTTGATGTTGCTGAACTGCCAGGGGTTGGCGATAATAATATTATCGAACTCCACGCCATAATGTTCGTTAGTGTCGTCCTTTGAGTGGGCATCTCTAGTTGCGATAATGTATTTTGATGAGGATGATGGCTGTGTCTTTGTCTTGGACTTTTCGATGGAGGCCACGGTCACGTTGTGGTATACAGTGGCTCCACTGTCCAATATCATCTCGTCAAAGATACGCCAATTACCTGTTTCGACAGACATGGCATTATCCGTGGCCAATGAAACCTATTTCATTTAGTCTTAGAGCTGGTGAATAAGAACGTCTCTACGAACCAGGGTCTCCAATCCATGGATGTAAGCCAGGTTGGAGGCATAGTTGACTCGCGTGGCAACCTGCAAGATCTCACGGGCGAAACGAGGATCAATGTTCTACACTATTAGTTATTGGGAATTTGTAATCAAGGATAACATACTTACAGCGTTTTTCAAGACCTGCTCTCCTGTAAGACTTGTAAACCGGTTCAAGCCCAACTGCTCTGCTCTTTGCGACAACGACTTGAAAGGAAAGTATGGGTCTTCATAGAGCTTGAGGAACTCTCCAATCATACTATCTACAAGCTTTTTAACCCTATATGGTGAGAGACCATATCTCCAAAACATCTTGGCGAGATCCCACCCTCCCCAGGACCCCTCAGTGGTCTGGAAGACGAAGTCGACACCATCCCATATGGCTGTCAGGTCGTCCTTTTCTAGCCGGTGAGGCTGGCTTAATGGGAGCTGGAATTGCCTGCTTGAATTGACAAGGATGCGATTGGCGCCAACGAAGATTGATGCGCCCAGCTCAATAGGTAGAGAAGGGTCGTTGTAGGCAGGGACCGTCAATGAACGACCTCCTACACGGTCCGTCTTTTCAAAAACGGTAATATTGATAGCAATATTCTCTTCTAGAGCATATTTCCGTAAGTGGAATGCCGCTGATGATCCAGCAGCGCCAGCTCCTACATCAAAAGGTTAGTATATGTCAGTTCTCATGAACAGAGCTGACCGTTAACGCCTTGGGAAGCATGCCAAGGGAGTTGGTCTAAAGCCTGTCCTGTCGTGAATCAATGTACGGACCAATAATAGCAACATTGTTTACAGCCTCAGCTTCACATGGAACACACAGAAGTGATCCAATGAGAGTCAATACAAAAGTCGTTGAAAAATACATCCTGTTTCGTGATGATGAGATTGATACGTCGCGTATCACGTCAGTTCGGGACTGAACAAGTAAGTGTCTGCTCACGTGACACGATAACAGTGTCTTATGCGTGTTCTTGTGGAAGTTCACCACATCATACGTTCACTACGCCCTAAGTTGCTTAATACTTGAAGTTGAACTAACAAGGCCAATCTTTGAGGCTTCATTGGCTTAAGGCAGACGGAATCCAGCCACACTGCACCCACCTTTGTAATGCTTCAGGCATGTATAGTATGACGGTGAATGGCGAAGTAGGCAACACAAATAGTGAACGAGGAGGAAACTGTAAATTTGGTATCTTGACAACCTGGAACAAATATGTTTCAGAAAAAGAATTCATACCAAGGCCTACGCTATATTGCAACCTTTGATCTCATAAAAAGAGTACCCAGGGAATCATGACCCTTCCTCTCTAAACGCCAAGCTAAATGCGACTTATGCAACCTTCCCTTGAAAACAGAGATTCAAATTTGTTCCCTGACCGTATAGAAATATGTGAAGAAACCCGGTTTTTTTCATTCTATATTAAACCTAAACCCCAAGTAAAAATCGTGAAATGCAGAATAATAATATGTTACAAACATATTGGATCAACGTAGAATCAGGGACTCTCGTTACTGCTGCTGTAACCACTCTCCGCCGCGCCCGCAGTAGCGACGGAACTATCATCACGGGATAACGCCGGATTTCCACTGTGACTCTTGCTTGCACCCCGAGCAGTGCCGGCAGCCGCAGCAGCACTACTGGTACGGCGGGCAGCTTGTCGAGGACGGTTTGGCAGCGCCTTTGGATCTCGGCTGGTCGCATAGATGTTCTGATTAGGCGAGTCATCGGGTTCGTCACCTTCTTCGTCACCACTGCTGAGATCAACGCCATCAGGGTAACCATCCGACTGATGCTGTAATGTTCGCTGTCCCATAAGGTCCCTCAGCGACGAAGATGTATCGAAATCATCCGAGATATCATCATCGTCGTCTACGGTAGACTCGCTGGGACTAAATGGTGGGAAGAAAATCGCAGGAGGTGGCAACGAGACTGGTGTCAGTCGCTTGATGCGACCTGACATGTATTCAATCTCGACAGGGAGGGGACCCGTAGGTGGCCAAGGTTTTAGACCGCCTGAGATTGGAGACGAGGTTGACATAGTTGCCAAGCGACGGACGACGGCATCCGTGGCTTCACCAATCCTTCCACTAGCCACCTGAACTGAGGACAGTTCATCTTGTTTCGATCTTTTCGTGGAGACAACTACCATGAAGTGATCTTCAGGCAGGACCCCGCCTAAACCCCAAGGCTCAAGGGGGTAATGCTGCATATATTGGGGGTTATCGCTCCAAGTGAAGTCCAAATCAATTTCGCTTGCATCATCGGTATCATCTGTAAGGCTTGGCGGGTCCTCACTATCGATATCCATAGCTGTAGTCGCTTGGGTCGGGAGAATCCCGCGGTCAGTCAATGGTCGGTAGTTGAGAAACGATCCAGAGTCTGTTCGTCGGAGAGGCGACAGGGGAACCTTGAAAGTATCCTTATCCGTTTGGGTTTGACCAGCCGCTCGCATTTGTGTGGTGGGTGACATATCACCGGGGTCCCCAGACAAGTCTGTACAGAACGGAGCACCGCTGTAGTAGATTATGGCGCCATCATGACGGCGCTTCCTACGGCTGGACGCACCGGAACCACTAAATCCCCATTTCGATTCGCCAACGTTACTTTCCTCAGGAGGGCCAAACGAGGAGACAGTCTCATCGAGCGAGGTCTGGCCGCCTGAAGAATCTTGTTGCGCAAACAAAGGCTTGTAGTGAAAACTTTCAGAAGGAGCACACAGCTGTGGGTCGTACTTGAGGCCGTTCTTGCTGGAGCTTCCTGACTGAAACTCATCGCCTGTAGAGCGACCTGTCTTCTGACGTTTGCGCTTACTCTCGGACCCGCCTTCCGTATCATCTGTTGATGGGCTCTTCTGAGAGTTGTATCCGGAACTGTCGCTGCTAAACCTTGTTCCCTCTGTTCCACCACGCCATCGAATTTTTCGGCCATCGGGTGATAACTGGAACTTGGTGCTCATGCCAGTCACAGCAGAGCGAACAAAATCAGAGGTGACGTTGATCATATGGAGCTGAGCCAAATTGCACAGCAAGTTCAGGTAGACCCATCCCTCAGCATCAGGATGAACATCATGGTTATGCTGTTCTGCTAGCAATTCCGGTGGCACTAAGCCAAGATGACGGATGTAATCCATGTTTTCAGCAGGTACTTGGGCACGGTCTGGGTCTAAATCACGGGGTCGTGTGGGCCGTTGTTCGGGCAAGGTTGTCATTGGAGGGGAGGGGTTTGTGCCTGAACCCGTGCTGTTGCCGTTACCACCAGACTCAGTGTTATCCCCATTCGAGTTCGACGCAGAGCCATTATCAGCAGATCGACTCTTTTTACCAGAGTGACCGGGTTGCTGTTCGGTAGATAGAATTCGGGCCTCTCTTGTAGGCTCTTTGCCGCTTGTTTGCAGTGTCGGAGGTTCGTGGATAGAGGAGTTTGAGGTGTTAATAACATTTGGTTGTGTGTCCGCAACAACATGCGCTAGAGCAGCAGATCCACCACTAGGCTGTACGGGTTGCTTCTTCACCACGTGTCGTCCGCCGATCTTGCCTGTGAATAACTGTTCTAGTCGACGAACAACAAGCTTCTTTCTCTCCTTCTCCGTCATGATCATGTGTCGCGGGTATAAACCCTCGGGAATATCCCGAAGATAACTCTCGACTGCCTCTGACGACTTTGCTTGCGAGCCCATGCTGGGACGGCTCAAAGAAGTTCCTGACGACTTGGCACCGGTGGACATAGAAGCATACGCTGAGTCGGCTGGGCGAAAGTTGGATCCTGATGATGAAGATGCATGCTTGGATCCAGAACCGGAGTACATATTATCGCGGTTTGCATGGCGGGATTTCTTCTTGTTCTGTGATGACGATGTATCAGGGGATCCATCAAGACTTGCTGCAAAATCTCGGAGTGTGGCCTCGAGTTCCCTCTTCTTCTTCTTTGGCAGTCCATGGCACTTGATCTCGAAAAGTTTCTCCTTTCGAAGCATATCGGGACCTGTGTTCTTGTAACGTTTGAGTTCCTCCCGGAGCTTCTGGATTTCTACCGTGAGGTCATCGATAACACTTCGGTAATCATCTGCACTGCTGCTGTGTGCTGTTGTAAGTTTAGGGGGTGCGAGTTGATGATGATTGTAGTAGGGTTTGTCTTCGTTTGAGGAGTCGGATTCTTTTTGGAAGAAAGGGGGGTCGACTGTCCACCAAGTTAATGTGCTGCTCGTTCCTTTTCTATTTTTTTAGATGATCATTTACCTTCCATAACATTACTGTCGAATGTGGCAGTTGGGTTCTGGTTCGATTGATCAAACCATGTGTTAGGGTCGCTTTGGCCGGTCTCATTGCTATCGCCCGTTGAATCACGCCGAGGCGATGTTGTCGTCGTCTTGGCAGTGGGCCCTGAGCCCTGACTGGCCTTGAGTGATGCATCACGTGCTAATCGGTGATGGCGAAGAGTGACCGAGTTGGCTGGGGATGTTCGTCGGGGGAGCGGGTGGCCAGTCTTGGAACAAGACGGCGGCGGTTGCGTTCCTTGAGATATATCTTGGTTAAGTGGCATTGTCTTTCATATGCTTCAGGTTTGAAATATTGATGATTGGCAATCTAGCATTTCCCGAAATGAGAGGCAGTTGGCATATCGTAGAAGACGGCCGCCGAGCTGTGTTCTGGTATAAACGCCAGTGTCTGACAATCCGTGACGTAGGGCCTGGAAGCACCTTGTAGCGAGCTAAGAGCCTGGACGTCAGGGGACTTATTAGCACAATCCGTTCATTAACATAACTCAACAATGATGCCGGGTATGAGCAACGAAGGTTCTCGCAAATGGCGGAGAAGAGCTTCTATTGGCTGTTGGGCGACAAGCGATCGATCGATCGATGCTTCAGCGCCAAATGACGAAAGATGATGGCAGGCCAGTTACACAGTCTCAAAGGGGAACAATGCCGGGTGTTTTTGGGACACTCACCTTTGCTAAAATTCACGTCAAAGCAATTAAGACCCTGAAATTTAATTTTATCAAATCCCCAGTTTTGATCCGACTGAGCAATTCTTTGATGGAGAGATTTCCCGTATGCTGATATTTTGATGTCGCAGTTCTCAATTAGTCGGAATTAGAGCTGACTCTCCGCAATCAGCTCTTGGCCGCAAAAATGTCGTATCCACTCGTGAATTGCAATCGTTTCAGTGACGATGCTCCGGTTGTCTCAATATAGTTGGTAAGTTTGTTGGATTTAGTGACCAGAATCAATGGATCGCAAGATGCCAAAACCTTGCAATCGAGTCGTCGCGTATGTGACCAAAATCTTGTAGGGGGATAATCGGATGTGTCGCAGACTTGATGAGCAAGTTATTATTGGAAATTTCTTGTTTTTCAAATACCGAATCGTGTGCAAGGTTGTTGTGCTGGCGATTCGTAGCTTTAATTCGTAGCTTTAATTCGTGTAGAGTGATTGGTGATACCGATCAGGTCAGGTCGTCGTGGTCGGGAATGCCGTAAGGAAGAGTGGGAGCTTTACCAAGCAGTAAAGCCAAACAAGCTTTCAAAGACTGAGGAGGTGTTTGTTCTTGAAAAAGAGAAGAAGTGGTGGAGTCCAGTATTCCAACGGCCGATATATGTAAACCAGGGTCGCTCAGGGTGGCACTCAGGTGGTACCTACTCAAATCGACAGGGTGTGAGGAATCAAGAGAGAAGCGACCGTTCCAAGGCGGCAGAGAGGGGAGAAAAAGAGGTCTAGAATAGTTGAATGTGGTGTGGACGGTTTGGATAGGATGGGAAGCCAGAGGAAGCTCAGGGTCAGGTCAAAAGA